TTTTAAGCAAATGGACTTTCATTTTTCAAGCGAGCGAAGAATTTGGATATCACAAAATCCCTCGAAATGTATGTTATTTTTTGCACTTTTCGGAGTCGGATATAACATTCGTCATTTTTTATATTATTTCTTAAAAAAAACATGTATATTTAATATAAATATATTATTTATATATATAAATATAATTTTAAATAAATATATATATATATATATTTTTATACCTAAATATATTTTATGCTTTTTAATGTGACAAGTATATTGAATTAAAAAAAAAAATGAACATTCAGAAATGTATTAAAACAACTCACGACAAAAGAGATAAGAGCAAAGACAGTGAAAAAATTGGGATATAAATGAATATCGAATGCTTAAGTTATGTTTCTATAGGCTTGTAATGTGCAACTTAATCAAGCGAATCGAGCTCGTATATCGAACTCCGATAAAGCGCAACGCTTAATGTCAGCTGATTTATGTCAGTCTTGATACCTTCACTTTACATCCGGAATATAGCAAAGATTTCGCGAGAGTTGCGCGAGTAATTAAAATTTGAATGATTCTATAGCATGAAGATCAATTTTTCTCCATCTTTCTCTCTCGCATAATCCGGCTGGCTATATCATCATCAGCTGTGACTCAGCTGCCGTATCTCGCAACATTGACGAATAATTTATTGTCGATTGACGTAAGCGGATAGAGGTGTATCGGGGGATTTTATTGTGCAAAGGCGCTTACACGCGCGGGATAAGCGCAGCTGCTGCCTTTTTTTTTTTTTTTTTTTTTTTTTTTTGCGAGAAAGGCGAGAGATTGGCGGGAATGCGTCTTTCGATCGACAGCCTCGGAATGCAATTACGATCGCGACAAAGATGCACATATATTTATGTATTCGGCGACGCGTCGCGATTACATGCGCAATTAAGTACGAAAAAATGAATTTTCTAGTAGAATCTTGGGTTTATCGGTGATCTTGAGTGATTTAGCGGATATAGCTAGCCTTATCATGCGTTAGTAATGTGGCTGATTCGATGGAGAAGAGGATAATTAAACATTTATTTTTCGCACTTAACGTAAGTGTGTCGCATCATTGAATCCTTGAGTCAGATAACATTTATTTTTTATATCAAGTTTATTCATAAATTTATATATTAGTTTCTTAAAAAAATATATATATATATATATATATTTAATATAAATATATTATTTATATAAATATAATTTTAAATAAATATATATTGAATTAGAAAAAAATGAACATATACATATAACTGCATTTTCAACATTGAGATATATTTATTTTAATCAAAAATTATAATTATATAATTATGTTCTTGACAATTTATGTATATGTATTTTTTTAGCATATGCATTTTTTCAAAAAAATAGTTTTATTTAAAAATGTAATTAATTGAAAATAAGAAAGCAAGAAGGAGAAGCAATCTTTTCAGTTAAGGAAAGTGTCTCTCTCAACATGTTATTGTCTCGTACACATATATATCTGACGATACACTACCTCGTCTGTTCAGTCTCATTTCGTGTTTACATACGATGTTTTCATGCTCGATGTCTCGGTAACAAGGTTTCACGTCTAACTCGGAACGCGTGGTAAGAATACAAAACTCCAAGCTTCTTCAATACTTTACGTTCCCGAAATCCTCTAGTCTCATAAAATAGTTCAATCAAACTAAATGTCAAACGCATAAATTATTTAAATCGAACAAGATTTTAATTTCAATATTAAATATTAAAATTAATTATCGCGATTTATACTGATCGAAAAATATTGTTTTTATTTCTTTTCGCAAAAAGATAAAAGCCAGGGTGTATTATTGAAATAAGAAGTAAGTAATAATATTTTAATAAATTTGATAAAAGGCTGTTAAGAAAGCAGTAAATATAAAAAATAATAATATTTTGTCAAAAAATTTCCTTGACTCAAATTAGCTGAAAAGCGACATTTATCTGTCTTTTTTCATTAAATAGAAATACTAGGACGTAGCGAGTCGAGCTCCGTATGGCCACAGTTTTTCGGCTTATTAACCTCCTTTCTCTCAATCTTGTTAAGTAAGTAGTGTGTCTCTCGTAATTTCGGCGTCGCTCGAAAATTCCAACATCGATTCTAAATAAATGTCTATCCGAAGTGCGTGTTTAATTCCGCCTCTAAACCCGTTTCAGGTCATCTTCGGACTAACATTAACCCGATCTAACATTAACTCATTATTTGTTACATTATAACGCGTTATTACTTCATTATTTCACAATTTTCTGGATTCGTAATTTGAAAAATTACGTGTAATTTAAAGGTTAATTTATACCACCAAGGAAACGTTGCACTTTATGATTTTTAAGTGGGATAAAAATAAATGCCACAAGGAATGTGTTATCTTTCTATTATGTAATTGAATTTTTTATCAGTAAATATCTATATATTTTATGACTATATATAATTTATATATTATATTATATATATGTTTCATATATTTTATATTATTTTAATTTAACGACGAGACCAAAATGGCAGATAGAATTCTTCCCCACGCAATTAACAACAGAGAGTCTCATCTGAAACATTTTTGACCAATCCCAAAATTGCTAACTAAAAAAAATTGAAACGCGGAAGAAAACTTTAATGAAAAAAAGAAATAAATGTAAATAAAAAATTCCCTTTCAAGCGAGAGAGAGAGAGAGCCGGGATTGCTAATTACGAACGGAACGATAAGAACCCGAGTTTGAATTAAACGAGACGGCATTATGTGCCGCACTTTTGCGGCGCGATTGCGCAGTTACATGCGCCAGTTTATCGGATTACTTTGCACATGTGTGGATTAAATAGCTCCACGTTAATTAGCGATCCTCTCGATCGCTTAACTTGGTTAGTTAGAACCTAGGCCAGGTCGTGTGAGAATCATGTTCTACGAAAGTAGCGCACAAATCTGGAGCTTTTATATATTCGGGATTTAATCGCCCGGTGCAATTACGCTTGCGATAGGATCGAGTTATTGTGCGAGTGAATGGAACGCTTCATCGCGAGATTACGGTATCTCGAGGAACGTATCTTCTCCCTTTGATCTAAACAATATATATATATATATAATGTATAAATTCTCGAGTTACGAAAAGATTCGAAAGGATTAATAATGATGTTCCCGTGTGCTTTAATTAGATACATGTCGTAAGATCTGCGTTAGATATAAACTCTCTCTTTTTATTAATTAATAGTTTCTAATAACAAAGTGTCGGCGCACGCCTAAATATGTATTATCATTTATAAAGTGATACTAATTATATTGTTATCTATTTATTAAAAATTATGATAATTTTATATATCACTATAATTATGTAAGTACTTTGGCAGGCGGAAAGAGAGAAAGATTACAAGATATCTTTCAGTTACTTAACTTTAATCTCTTTAATACATTTATCTCATATTCTTATTTTTGTTTTCTTCTCAATGAAGGAAATATCATAATAACAATTATATAATATAATTTTTATAATGATGAGTTATATTAATATTATAAAAGAAATGTGTGACAGTATTATATATACGTTTTATATTTTAGAAAAGAGAGGACATTGCAATTACTTAAATATGTTGATCCATATTTATAATTACAATTCCAATGTTCTAAAATAAATATCACAACATATCGTTATATTTCAATTTTATATAAAATCAAATTGAATACTTAAAACGTCGCTAGTGGTATTTAAAATAGGAACGATATATTAAATTCGACCCAAACTAGCCAAGAAAATTTTTATTTTATTTCCACAATTTAAAAGGTATTAATTTTTAACTTCAACTAGTTATTTTCGACCTTAAACTTATTAACTTTTCCCAAGTTAAATTTTTTTATCTCTGAATACTATATTATTGTTTTTTTATAAGTTATAAACGTATTATTTTAAAATTAAAACATTATTAATTTTTGTTTTTTTATCATCAATTGTAATTAATGACCAAAAAATATATTTCTATATAAAAATCAAAATTTCTTTATTTGTTATCATATGTTTGAAAAGAATTAACAAACAAAATTCGAATTTAATATAAATAATATTAAAAAAAAATGAACTTTTGATTTAACTCGAATTAATTTAATCTTAACTTTAATTGGGTTAATTTTACAAGCAACTAACTCCAACTTAACTTAGTCTGAAAATATCATTAACTTCCCCAACCCTGCACAAATCCGAGGAACAAATGGCAAAACGTGCCTGGCAAAGTCTTTGTGGAAAATCCTAGGTCGAGCCTGATCCTGAAAGTCGCCATCATCGCTTAGGTCGAGGTAAGAGAGGAAAGAGGGAGGGTAGGAGGTCTCCCGAGGTGGTCAGGAAGGGAGGAGGTTAGATGGAGCGAGGTGCAAAAGATGAAAAACAGTTTGCCATCAGCATAACCGGTTCCACGTATCTCCGAACTGGTATCGCTTTCTCTCTCTCTCTCTCTCTCATTCTTCCGCTGCTTGGCTGATCCGGCCCCAACGGGGTTTCGCCCGACAGGGTCGCTCGCTTTGCTGATGATAGTCGGGTTCTGGCTACCGGTGACGGGTGTCCTTATACAGTTAAGGACGTTATCTCGTCTCCTGCCCCAAATTCTTTCTTCCCGTAGATAAACGAATCCGCGAACAAATCTCTCTCTTACCCTGCTTCGTCGAAAATAATGATCCTCCGATGTCGAAAAATCCTCGTGATGATTCAATAACAGTAGGAATATTTACATGGAATTTTTAGTTAATAATCTCTCGCTCTATGTATCTATTATAGAAATTGATTGAAAACCTTTTATTTATTCGCGACTCTTTTCTCTTCCTGATGAAATATTGCACAAGTATATGAATCTGAACACCTTCGTTGAAATTACTCGCATGAAATCTTATCTACAAGATAAAGATAGAAATATTTTTCCAATTCCAAGAGATTACATCTCCTGACAAGATATTATATCTTATAAAAAATAAAAATTGCCGATACCAGTTAATTTTGTTCCACTTCAATCATTGCAGACCCGGCTGTCAGATCGTGGAGAACACAGTGGAACGAGACCCAGGGATTAGTTTGAACGGTCCGACGTAGGTGACCAAGTTTCCTGGTCTCGAAGTCAGCGGGATGACGACGCTGCAGAGCTGCGGCGGCGGCTCTTCAAGGTGCGCGAGACGCGCCTTCGTCCTCGTGTTCGCCTGGGGCCTGTTGATGATCGCGGCGGTGCAGTTCCGCCACCTGGAGAACAGGACGCTGCGCCAAGATGGCGGTCCCACGGGCGAGGAGAGTAACCTGGAGGTCGACGGCACCGGTGGCGAACGTGGTGGAATCGCCTCGGCGAACCTGGGTCTGTCCCGATACCTCCTGCAGAGGCAGTCCCTTAGTGGAGATCTCTCCAACTTGCTGACAACCCTGAAGAATCAGCTGGAAGCGTCGACGAGCAGCCCGCTCGAGCTGGAACCGCTGTTGGACAAACGACCCATCAAGTCCGAGCAGCAGCAGATCGAGGAGATCGCCGAGAAGATACCCAGCTTGCCGCTGAGCGATTGGCTCAAGAACAGCAAACTGACGAAGCGGGGCAACGACAGCTGCGCGCGGTATCCGCATATCTACGATCTGGACTTCAACAATTTTTACTGGCAGACGCTGCGAACTAATAACGGCACGTTCCAATTCTTCGGCGCGTTCTACGATAATCGTAGATTATCGAAAATCGGACCGGCGGTGAGGATCGTCGGCATGATCGATCGTATCGAGCCTACCGTCAAGACCTACTGTCAGTTGTGGTACGAAGGCGAGAACGAGCCTAGGATCGTCGAGACCCTCGAGTACAAATACATCTGGTATCCCAAGTGGGGCAATTACAAGCAGGGTATCTATCAACCGTATGTGATAGCGTGCAGAGTACCGCCGCAGGCATCCGGCAAACCACCGTCCTCCGTTTCCTTAGTCGAGAAGCGTTGCGACACGGCCACCAATCATCTCCGGGTGATCTACAACAAGCCCGAGCGCAAGAAGGACTTTGCCGTGTGCGTGAAGGGCCTGGACTTTTTGCACGAGGATCTCTCGGTACGGCTGATCGAGTGGATCGAGCTAATCAGTCTCCTGGGCGCCGACAAGATCTACTTCTACGAGCTGCAGGTGCACCCGAACGTGACCAAGGTGCTGCAGCACTATCAGCGCCTCGGGATGGTGCACGTGACCCCGTTGACCTTGCCGGGCGGTCAACCGAACGTGCCCGCCTTCCAGCACATGTACCTCACGAAAAAGACCAATCACAAGCGGCAGAACGAGCTGATACCCTACAACGACTGTCTCTACAAGCACATGTACGAGTACGAGTACATCGCCCTGCTGGACGTCGACGAGGTCATCATGCCCGTGAAGGACGCGACCTGGCAGGAACTGATGCGCCGGGTGCTGCCCAAGGCTTTGAAGATACGGAACGAGACCCGCGCCTCGTACAACGTGAGGAACGTGTACTTCCTCGACGACCTACTGCACTCTCACGGTTACTTCAAGGACATACCCAAGTGAGTGAGGTTTCTACTTTCACGCCGCCGTTAATCGAAGGCGGATGGTTTGCGTGTCTCCATTTTTTTCTTATTTCGGATTGATCCAAAAGATTCGCGCGCTCCCGAAGAAGCAAATTGAGATATTGATTCTTCTAAAGATATATATGGTACATTTTTACGTGTACGTACACGCATCAAAAGCTACAGAAGTATAATAAAAATATAGAAAAGAATACCTACTTGTGCAATAATTTAATTAATTGTACAAATTTATCGAGTTTGAAATTTAAAAAATGTTTTTTTTCTAATTTATAATAAAAAAGATATTTGAAAAAATATTTTTTATCGTTATTTAAATTAAAATATGTAAGGCATCTATTAAAAACATATAATAAGCAAATAAAATATAAATATTTATCTAGTTTTCGAATCGATGTTTCTTGAAATAAAATATTTAAGAATGGAAAATTATATCGATGTTCGAAATTATATCGATGCATTTTTATATTATTAGAGAAGAGAGAAAATGTAGCAAGATCTCTTGAAAATATCACATATTTAGTCTTCTTCAAGTCTTGCATTTTGTCAGAGCTAAGTGGAATACAGTTCTGTTTCATTTATTCATCGTGCTTGTAATTTGTGTAGCTTATTTATAGGTGTTTACATGTATCCTAAATTAGCATGTCGAGTTTTTGAAATTTCAAAGTCTTTTTGTGGTAATTTTTTGGCGAATTACATCATCCAATTAATGGTGAACATTTCTTATAGTATTATTCTTTATTTATTTATTATATATTTATTAATTATTTGATATAATCTTCTGAAATCTGTCTTATCTTTTTCAATTTTTATTTTTATTTTTTTATGATTTGATTAAGGAAATTAACTTAGAATGTTCCATCTAGTTTTGCATTAATATCGATATAATTTTACATTCTTAAATATTTTATTTCAAGAAACATCGATTCGAAAACTAGATAAATATTTATACTTTATTTGCTTATATTTTTTTAATAGATGCCTTACATATTTTAATTTAAATAAAGATAAAAAATATTTTTTCAAATATCTATTTTTATTATAAATTAGAAAAAAAATGTTTTTTTTTATTTCAAACTCGATAAATTTGTACAATTAATTAAATCATTGCACGAGTAGGTATTCTTTTCTATATTTTGATTATATTTCTGTAGCTTTTCAATTTGCTTAAAACAGAAAAACAGAGTATCAAAAAAATATTATTAAAACTGTAATACTACAGGGGATAGTCTTTCTCGAATAAAATGTTTAATAAATATATTTGAAGTTTCAGCTAGAGATCCCCAAACAAAATAGTACATCGACCCTTGTATCATTTTCTCTGTTACATCGCACTTTGTCCTCGTTTTTTTCCGGAGTATTTATTTTCGACAAAAATTGCGCTTTGAAATTTTTATATTGACATTAAAGCTATATATATATTTTCTACTAATATCAAATATTTAGCAAGAAATGTTCAAAACATCACAGAAAAAACAGTATCCTTGAAAGAATGCAAATATGCCTTGATTCAAGTATATTTTATCCTTATAATAGCGCCAAATATAAATAATTTTGGATAAAGGATAATTTATCCTTAAAACAAAGTGCAAAATATTCTTGGTTGAAGCTGAAATTTACTTATAAATATTGCAAGGACAAGTGAGCATCGAATATAAGCGATATAATTCTTAATTCAAATGTGACTAAGTTTGTTTTTACTATATAATGATTTTTAAAACAAGAATATATTTTAAGGATAAAATATACTTCACACAAACTTATTTATTATTAAGACAAATGAAAAGAGCATTCTGTGCTTAAATCAATCAAATAGCGTTCAAGAATAAAAATATACTTGAATCAAGGATTCCTTTTTCTCTGTGATCCGTTGATCTCTCCCTATACACGCGATCGATTTGATACAGTCTCCGTGAACCTTTCCAAGGATAATCGGGGTCCTTGGCGAGAGAAACTCGCCCTGATACGAGAATCCTCTCTCGTACACAGAAAAAAAAGGAATCCTTGATTCAAGTATATTTTTATTCTTGAACGCTATTTGATTGATTTAAGCATAGAATGCTCTTTGTAATCACAAATTTTCATTTGCCTCAATAATAAATAAATTTGTGTAAAGTATATTTTATCCTTAAGATATATTCTTGTTTTAAAAATCGCATATGGTAAAAACAAACTTAGTCACATTTGAACTAAGAATTATTATATATACTTGAAAGTACCGCTTATATCCGATGCACACTTGTCACTCATCCTTGCAATATTTATAAGTAAATTTCAGCTTCAACCAAGAATATTTTGCACTTTGTTTTAAGGATAAATTATCCTTTATCCAAAATTATTTCTATTTGGCGCTATTATAAAGATAAAATATACTCGAATCAAGGTATATTTGCATTCTCTCAAGAATACTGTTTTTTTCTGTGTAGGTACATGCACATGCTGCAGCACGTGTACCGCTCGAAGAACTTCACCAAGCCGAACCAGTACATCAAGTGCTTCCACAATCCGGAACGGGTGGTGACTCTGCACAACCACTTCCCGCTGGCCTGCCTTGGCGCCGGCTGTACCAGCTACCCCATCGAGACCGAGGACGCGCAGTTGCAGCACTATCGCGCCGATTGCGTGCGCTCGTTGAAGAAGACCTGCGTGGAGTATCGGGAGAACAGCGTGATTGACACGACGATATGGCGTTACAGGGACAAACTGGTCGCGAGGGTCACCGACACCCTGAAGACGCTCGGCTTCTTCGGTCCGAGATAGCGATCGGCGGGGGATCGATCTTCCCTTTTTTTCTCTTCTTTCACTTTCCTACGAAGTTTCGATCGGTCTCCGTGAAAGGGAGGTTCGTGTCTGGCTCGTGCTGGAACGAGGCGAGGAAATTAATCAGAGCGGGAGGTAATTGCCGGCGAGGCTTGATCGCGATTTAATCGAGGAGATAATCGAGATCGGTGTAATCGTTCAAGTGGACGCGTCTCTTAAAGCGACGGCGTGTAATTCGCGTCTTGATGTTCGTATATATATATATATATATATAGAGGATCTTTCTCTCGATCGCGCGAAAAGCGTACGTATTTTATATTCGGAACGACAAGATACGCGAGCCTTATCAAAGGCGTGGAAGATGACGTCGAGATTGGAGCGATCATTCACTCCAGTCAATTCGAAACTCGTTACTCGTTGGCTGAGGTATATAATAGAATACCGAGATTGAGTTACGGCTTTTTGCGGAAGTTGACGGATCTAATCCAAAACCTGCGTCGAGGACGAAATACGTACAAGACGATATTCGCTCGATTTTATTGAGAGTTTCATCGACGCTGCTGGTTTTTTCGGGTATTCCGTTAAACTAATAAGCCAAGTTATCTTCAAGTCCCGAGTGTAATTCCGGCTCGATTTGTATCGAGCAAAATTTTCGCTCCACGCGACGAGCCGATTACACGTTTGACGAGAAAACTGCACAGTATTCCTTTTTTTTCCTTTTTTTTGTGTAAATAACTCCTTCTAAGTCTGCTTCCTATGCTCAATATATAATACGAAGTCTGCAAAGATTCGATTGATAGCCATAGCGAACAGCTGTAACGGATCGGTAAACGTATGTACACATATGTGACTTTAGATTTTGATAATACGGTCAAAAGGGACGTGGACTCGAGAAGTTATGCTCTCTTTGATAAGGAGTATAAATAAAAATTTATATTAAAAAATATATATATATATATATAAAATATATTTTATTATATATTATGTTACATTGTTCTCTCATTTGGTTATATATTACGTAAATGCAATGTGTTTACATATATATATAATTTTTTGTTTATTGATTTTTCGTTATTGAAAAGTGTGTATCGTCATACCGTTCCGACGACTGAAACGCTACGAGGTGTAAACACGCTCGTATTAATTAAGGCTACTGTTAATGAGTTTCCGCAGCCGCGAAGCGATCTATTTTTCGTAAATAGACGCAGGAAATTGTCCGAATTATGTTACTGTAAGCGTGAAATAAAGAAATAAATTGTATGAGTGTGGAAAGCGTGAAGAAAGAAATAAGACGTAGAAAAAAAGAATAAAGCTATATCAGATAAAGCTATATTAGATAAAAAATACAATAATCGCTGATTGACATACAATTATATGTTATTTAATTGTACGAGCATGATAAGCGTGAAAAAATAAGAGAGATATGACACGATAACAGAAAGCGAAAGATAATGAAGCTACATTAGATGCAAAAAATAATACAACAGCCGCTGATCACATAAGGTTATATATGTGTTAGTATAAAATTTTATTCTGTGGCATGTTACGATATTTTTGAAAATATGTTTCTTTATTTTTGGAGTGGATTTTTGATGTTGTTGGAATGTTCGAAATATTCGTGATACTCTTGCGCATTTTCTTCAACGAAATATTTCGAATAAGATTGAGCCTTTTACTGACCGCTTCGCGATTTCGGAAAACCTCTTCCTTTACCTTATGGTAAACCTCGATCGCTTTCTGCGCGAATGCGAGAATCGATCGCGTTTTACGACCCGACGCGTAAAGCGTCGCTCGTAAAAGCAAGAAGGCGATTCACGTTGCACCATGAGATGCGATATCGATATAAAGGGGACCATTGTAGATAAGAGTCAATAAGAGAGTCGTAACAGAATCGGCGCACATTTTCGCCTACACGCCGAAATAAAATCGTACTGTATTGTTCTCTTTCCGAACCGAATGTGTGTATTTACGCCGCCTTTTCCGAAGCGAAAAGTGAACGGTGTCTTTCAATTTGACATGTATTCCGATGTTCGATTATAAATCTGAAGATTAGATGTAATATTATAGCGCGATAATGTTGGCCAGAAAAATGATCGAGCACGACTGTAAGATCGAAATAAAATCCAAGAGAATTATAATCGACTTATGTGTATGTCGAAAGAGAGCTGTTCTCCAAATTTCGAGATAATCAGACTGAATTTCTCGCGTGAACAATATCTGTGCGCCGTTTTACGAAACTCTCTCACTTGCTGTAATAATTCTTTGTACATATGTCTCCGAAATACGAAAGTTGATCAATGAATGCAAGAAGAGTAATATAAACACCCATTTTCCGTACATCTCTCCTAGGCATCCTATGAATGATTATGCGCGATTCTCTTCGATGTTTATTGTAACAACCAATCATTTATCCAAAAATCTTATAAAAAAAAAATGATCGAGCAATTTTGATGTAGAAAGATAAAATATTTAATGTTAATCTTCAACATCGCTTCTTCAGGAATTTGTAGGATGGGTGTTCACAGGATTTTTTCCAGGATGGGGCATAATTAAATTTTATTTCTTAATTTTTTTAAATTTTCTTTTTTATATTAAATATGCAAATTCCAGTGTTTATTCGAGCAATTTTGATCTAGAAAGATAAAATATTTAATGTTAATCTTCAACACCGCTTCTTCAGGAATTTGTAGGATGGGTGTTCACAGGATTTTTTCCAGGATGGGGCATAATTAAATTTTATTTCTTAATTTTTTAAATTTTCTTTTTATATTAAATATGCAAATTCCAGTGTTTATTCGAGCAATTTTGATCTAGAAAGATAAAATATTTAATGTTAATCTTCAACACCGCTTCTTCAGGAATTTGTAGGATGGGTGTTCACAGGATTTTTTCCAGGATGGGGCATAATTAAATTTTATTTCTTAATTTTTAAAATTTCCTTTTTTATATTAAATATGCAAATTCCAGTGTTTATTCGAGCAATTTTGATGTAGAAAGATAAAATATTTAATGTTAATCTTCAACATCGCTTCTTCAGAAATTTGTAGGATGAGTGTTCACAGGATTTTTTTCATAATTAAATTTTGTTATTTCTTAATTTTTTTAAGTTTCCTTTTTTATATTAAATATGCAAATTCCAGTGTTTATTCGAGCAATTTTGATGTAGAAAGATAAAATATTTAATGTTAATCTTCAACATCGCTTCTTCAGAAATTTGTAGGATGAGTGTTCACAGGATTTTTTCCATAATTAAATTTTGTTATTTCTTAATTTTTTAAAGTTTCCTTTTTTATATTAAATATGCGAATTCCAGTGTTTATTAAAAAAAGAAGAGCAAATGCTGAATTTTTGTACTGATTCCAAGGGAGGGCAAATTAAATCCCCCTCTGAGATCTCTGCTCGAAATTCCATTCGGTTTTCGAGACGTCGCGTCTTGCGTGAAACGTAGTAGTTCGCGTCGCGACGTCAATAACGCGTAGTTTTGGAACGTGATCTTGACGCGTTAGTGTCACCCCGGGACGCAATGTTGACTTATCAGGCGCGTGTTGAAATTGTCGGATGTTATCAGTGCGTGATGATTCGTGCTCGACATGCGTCGAGATAATCGATGGCGATTGCAATGCGAGCTCCTGTCAACCGGACTGTGTATCTTTCTCGATGACGCATGGCATATATCAAGAATTTCTGTTTCCACAATTTTCCCATTGATAAACCAAACATTGACTTTATTCACTTAAATTTTCAGGAACGTTTCGACTCTCGGCGCGGAGTATTTTGCTTCCGCGAATGCGAGCTCGACCGAACGTAAGTCAACTTTTGAAATGAAAAGCAGTCCAAAGCAGAGTTCTTGAGTGCAGTTTATTTATAAACTAAGGAGATATTTTACGTGAGTTATTTTTAAAAATTTATTTTGATACCAGTCGCATTCTTTGCTCGTTCATTGTTTCTTCTTTCATACATCTTTTTCTTTTTGCTTTTATACATATATTTAATGTATTTCTTATATATTAAGTATGATTTAAATATAATTTTATGCATCAAAAAATATTTTTAAAAAGTTATTATCTTTAACGATAATAATTCTTTAATACTTTAAATTAACTTTAAATTTGTATTTATTTTATTTATTATTCATTTATATTTACAAGGCGTTCGAATACAAACTGAAACCATTTTGCCGACTGGTAATATTGCAGCAGAAGATCACCTGTTCCAATAAACTTGTAGACACCGATAAACCAGGTGGTTGGAGATAACCAATCGACGACAGTAGCCTTTCGAAAGTATCGCTGGTCGATCTCCTTATTTTTCCAACACAAGCAGGAAATTTAATTGAAGGTAAAATTTGCATACATCATCCCAAGTCGAATTTTACAATTTGATTTGAAAGAAGCACCCTTTGCAGAAAAATATAAAATATGTCCATGAAAAATGTTTCGCTCTCGAAGCTGCATATCGATCTCGCGCGCGAGACAAGAATTGTTTTTGAATTTAGATGAAAAATTTCGATTCCTCGGCGATTTATCTCCGCGAGTTTCAATGATTCATCTCGTTGTTACATCCCACACATGCGTTTCTCTCCCAGCAAATATAACCGCGCCGCTAAAAATAAAAGCCCCGGCTTCGCGCGTTCGCGACGTGCCGTTCTATTCCGTCGTTTACGTCGCCACGGGCGAATTTACATGATCGATGGCCTCATGTTTATTCACGTTAACCTCCGTAACGGTCCAATTAATACACGCCCCGTCGTGATAATTACTAGACGTGCACTCTCGCGCCACTGCCACAGGCGATCGCCTTTATGCGGACGATACTCGCGTGTTATTCGTCGAGATTCGTCGTATTTTTGTCCGCAATTCTTGCAAACACAGTTGCCGAGGTAAATAAGAAACCTGAATTTTTTAGAAATTTATTGGCAGATAATATCTGCATCAGGGTTGGGCAGATACTTCGAAACAAAATATTTCAATACAAGATACAAGATATACTGTTTGACATATATTTCAATATTATTGAAATACTTTGGTTTTGAAATATATTTAAATACATTTATGAATACTTTTAAATACAATTATTTAAAAAATGTTTTTATTATATATTATATACTTATTATAATATTAAAGACATATATTTAAATACTATTGAAATACTTTGGTTTTGAAATATATTTAAATACATTTATAAATACTTTTAAATACAATTATTTTTAAAATTTTTTGATTATATATTATATACTTATTATAATATTAAAGACATATATTTAAGTACTATTGAAATACTTTGGCTTTGAAACATGTTTAAATACTAATTGTATTTAGATACATTTATAAATACTTTTAAATACAATTATTTTTTTAATTTTCTGATTATATACTATATACTTAATATTAAAGACATATATTTAAATACTATTGAAATACTTTGGTTTTGAAATATGTTTAAATACTAATTGTATTTAGATACATTTATAAATACTTTTAAATACAATTATTTTTTTAATTTTCTGATTATATACTATATACTTAATATTAAAGTAATTACAAAAAGATTATCTGCTATTATTTAAAAAATTGAATTTTTTAAATCATAGCAATAGTAGATGATTTTATTGTAATTACTTTAATATTAAGTATAATATAGTCTGACGATAGAATTATATGAAAATAATATCAAAAGTAAGTTAATTTCAATACTTTGAAAGATAAGTTTATTTATTTGAATTAACTTTAAATTTTAGAAAATAATAATAATTAAAATAAACATATAATAGAATATATTATATTATATATGTAAAATATAGCAGATACATTTAAATTAAATAATTAATTACAATACGTATCTGCCTATAGAAACTTATTTATTTATTTCAGATAAGAAATGCTGAAGTCTGAAATATAATTTAATTTTTCTCATTTTATATAACTTTCAATTAAAATTTCAAAACAGCAATCTTATTTAAATATAGCACTTCTTATTAATATATTCGTGAAAATTTAATGTTTGTTCTGTTCTGTGTCTCTAATTATATTTAATAAGATAAACAACGCAGATAAACAACATGAAACAAATGCGCTTTTTAAAATTACGGAAAATTAATATTCTGAAAATAATTTAATAACAAATCGCAATTATATAATACGCATAATACTTGCAAATACATTTTGGAGAATTCCAAAGGATATTCGCGAAAGCCGAATTAAATTGACGATAAATTCTTGAATTTTAGCTCTCTTGCGTTCTCCGGCGAAAAGGGTGTTCTAACAAAAGTATATCGTACGATAAGCTTGAAAGGGTTAATATTTTCGCTTCCTTTCTCGAGATGCGCTTTTCTTCGCAAAATTAATTCATATATAGCGCGCACCGATGCAATATGTAATCCCGTTTTGCGAAGGGTCGCGAGAGTTTGAAAATAGTCCGCGTCGCATCTCGTTACTCGTTACTTATTCACTACCGGAGTAAAACCCATTGCATACAAATTTACGTTAAGTACGTAAGCGCATCGTAAATAACCGGTAACTACATACCGGCATCTCTCGGCGAATCGAGAGAGAAGCGCTTGAGAAAAACGCTCTTGTACCAATTGTACAGAGTTTAAACGGCGTGAGTAGACCTCTACGTATAGCTTCGAGAGCCCCAAAAATGAGCTTTTTAAATCACAGAAAAAAAGGAATCCTTGATTCAAGTATATTTTTATTCTTGAACGTTATTTGATTGATTTAAGCATAGAATGCTCTTTGTAATCACAAATTTGTGTGAAGTATATTTTATCCTTAAGATATATTCTTGTTTTAAAAATCGCATATGGTAAAAACAAACTTAGTCACATTTGAACTAAAAATTATTATATATATTTGAAAGTACCGCTTATATCGGATACTCACTTGTCACTTGTCCTTGCAATATTTATAAGTAAATTTCAGCTTGAACCAAGAATATTTTGCACTTTGTTTTAAGGATAAATTATCCTTTATCCAAAATTATTTATATTTGGCGCTATTATAAGGATAAAATATACTTGAATCAAAGCATATTTGCATTCTTTCAAGGATACTGTTTTTTCTGTGATGGCTTTTAAATTTAAAAAAAATGGAGAGAAATGGAAAACCGAAAGTTTTATCTGCAGTCGTTCGTAATATCCGGATATCTTCCGTATGAAATCAAGTCCGAGGAGGGAAACCAAAGTGCAATAAAATTGACTTACCTACTTGCTGTTCAACTCTTGAATCTCTGCGCGATATTCTTAAAGGTATCGAGACGCCTCGAGCGCAAATCTCTACGGAAACGTTTTATCTTTCTCTCTCTCTCTTGCTTCTTCCTCCCTTCCTATTTTCCGAACGAAATTTCGACGCTGGGATAAATTTGGAACAAGCCGCCTCGCGGACGTGTAATGCGTTTCTGCCTTAGTTTCGTGTCGAGAAACACGCGAGGATCACGCGTGTATCGTTTCGGAAGTTTCGGAAAGTCGCATACGCGGATGTTGAAGGTCCTTCAGGATCCTTCAGAATCGCCCGAGGATCCGTGCGACGTTTAGAAAGCGATCGAGAGAGAAGTAAATCTCTCTCGACCTTACTTGTGCTCGAGATTAAATCATCCAGCTGGCTTCAAACACGTGTGCCACTTTAAATAAGTTCGCGTTCGTATGTGTGCGCGCGTTTGGTTTTTTTTTAATAATTATTATTAAGACACCGCTTTTTTTATATTTCAGGATCGATATTTCTTTCGCGAGCGTAACGAGCTTCGATGATTAAAATAATTAAAATAATTAAAGTATTTGCACGGACATGTGTAGCGAAATTATATCGTGGAGATCGACAAATATGTATTTTAATGATGGAAGATTTAATAGGGAATTCGTATAGATATAAAATAAATGAGATGAAGAATTGAAATATTAATATTATTAATTCAAAGAAGCACGTTTATTCACAAGATCATTATTCTCCAGTTACTCGTTAAATCTAAAAGACCTTAATATATATTTCTCGAGACGAACAATTTTCGCAAATATTTCTTTACATAAACACGTCATTATTAATATTATGTCGTATTAAAAAAAAATTACATAATGATCGAACAAATGAATTTCATCCCTCCTTGAAATATTAATATTATTAATTCAAAGAAGCACGTTTATTCACAAGATTATTATTCTCCAGTTACTCGTTAAATCTAAAAGACCTTAATATATATTTCTCAAGACGAACAACTTTCGCAAATATTTCTTTACATAAACACGTCATTATTAATATTATGTCGTATTAAAAAAAGAAATTACATAATGATCGAACGAATGAATTTCATCCCTCCGATTTGGCACGTTTATTCATAAGATTATTATTCTCCAGTTACTTACTCGTTAAATCTAAAAAACCTTAATATATGTTTCTCAAGACGAACAACTTTCGCAAATATTTCTTTACATAAACACGTCATTATTAATATTGCGGTATTAAAAAAAAAATTACATAATGATCGAACGAATGAATTTCATCCCTCCGATTTGGCACGTTTATTCACAAGATTATAATTCTCCAGTTACTTACTCGTTAAATCTAAAAGACCTTAATATATATTTCTCAAGACGAACAACTTTCGCAAATATTTCTTTACATAAACACGTCATTATTAATATTATGTCGTATTAAAAAAAGAAATTACATAATGATCGAACGAATGAATTTCATCCCTCCGATTTGGCGATTAATTCGCGCGACTCACGTGTAATGAATTTGTCAATAAAGCGAGCAAGCGTTAACGATAACAATGATAACGCGCGCGTCATTCGAAGTGTAGGACGCGAGCACAAAGGGAAATTCAATATCGATCGATTCACGCCCGTCGATGCGACCGAAGGAAATGGATAGACATCGAGGAAAGCGTATCGCATTAAATCGAATTCGTCTCTGCGAGAAGCGGAGCGACTCGAATGAATACAAGAACAGATTGCTCGATCGGCGTCGTTCGTGATTTCGTGGGGTGACAAAAGATCGGCTCTCGTCGACATGGACGATCTGCCTGTGTAAAACACACTTCGTTTACAAAAATGCGACGCGATGATCATTTCTTATTAACGGGGTTGGGCAAATATGTATCTTAAAGTATTTCAGATACGTATTTAAATATATATCTTATATTCAAAAACAGTATTTAAAAACGAAATAATCGTGTATTTTGAATTTTGTAATTAATTATTTCATTTAAATGTATCTGCTATTATATATATATATATATATATATATATATATATATATATAATATAATATGTGCTATTATATGTTTATTTTAATTATTATTATTTTTTAAAGTTTAAAGTTTCAATAAATAAACTTATCTTTTAGTGATCATTTCTTATTAACAGGGTTGGGCAAATATGTATCTTAAAGTATCTGAGATACGTACTTAAATATATATCTTACATTCAAAAACAGTATTTAAAAACGGAATAATCGTGTATTTTGAATTTTGTAATTAATTATTTCATTTAAATGTATCTGCTATTATATATATATAAAATAATATGTGCTATTATATGTTTATTTTAATTATCATTATTTTTTAAAGTGTAAAGTTTCAATAAATAAACTTATCTTTCAGTGTTAAAATTAACTTATACTTTTGATATTATTTTCATAGAATTCTACCGTCAGACTATATTATACTTAATTAAAGTATAATTACAATAAAATCATCTACTATTACTATAATTAAAAAAATTTTATTTTTTGAATAATATAATAGATAATCTTTTAAAAATTTTAAAAATAATTGTATTTAAAAGTATTTATAAATGTATTTAAATATATTTTAAAACCAAAGTATTTCAATAGTATTGAAATATATGTTAAACAGTATCTTGTATTTAAATATTTTCTTTCGAAGTATCTGCCCAACCCTGCTCATTAACGACACACAAAATACGCCGATAAATGGACTGTTTATCGGTGCTTTTCTCATAATAATATAAAATGTATTTACATAAAATGATATAATATTGAAAGAATAATAAGCAATAATTTTTTATCATTATTTTAACAAATATTTTATTATTTTTTATTATTATTTTAATTGTTATACAGAGTCTAAAATAATTTTGGAATACTGTCTCCTCCGCGATTTATTTTCCATGAACCGTTTTTCGTGAAAATTTTATTCTTGGTTTTTTCGATATACAATGTAAAAGCTCAATCGTCAATGTTTTACAATAACTCGCATGACTTGTGTCTCTAGGCTCAGTGTCAAACCCGTTCGATGTTGTATTTGTAAAATTGTTGTAATGGCGATTATGCGGGACACGAGAGGGCCGATTTTTTTTGGCGCACGAATTCAATTTCTATTCCTCTCGATACATAAAATATGTTAGTTGAAAAAAGAATTGATCTGGTGGAAGCCTCGATATTGTGCATATTTATTCTAAAAAATATAGGTACGTGACGAAAGTAATATTTTTTCATTTAATTGTTTGTAATATATCGTTCGATATTGCAGTTGCAACACGTGCGCGGTTATTTATTTATGGCATGGCTGTTTGATATTACATTCGTGATCCAGGAATTTCCAGTGAGAGCTGGAAAAATTATTTAAGAGACTCCTCAATATTTTACAGAAGTAGAATTCTGTTTACCAGAGAAAGAGAGAAATAGAGAGAAAGAGAATCGGAAATTCCGATAAATCCACAAATTTTTATTTCCTCGGATTTAATGTAATAAATTAGATAAATATTTTTCTTCACGAATTATTTTCCATAAGATCAGTCTAGCTCAAGTTTATTGATGATATATCTACATTTTGGCGAAAAATTTCGATTTTCTCCAAAAATAAATATACACGTCGTTGAAAAAAAAAAAAAATATTGAATAACAAAAAATAGTGTATCTCCGACAGACCTAATGTCAACAAATTCGTCACGCGGGATCAAAGGGAATCTAATTATCGAGCAATCGAAACTACAATCGACGAGGGTGACGCGCTTGCTATGTAAATGGGAAATCTAATGAGAGGATCCCTTCTCGCGATATTCTAAAGAGGGCGAGTAGAGGGAGAGAAAATGCCGCGCTCGCGAACGGAGGTGTTCGATCCGATGATGGAGGTGGAGAAACCGTCGCGGTGCATCAGATTTCTACGATTGTTGTGGAAATTCTGCAGATGCGTCTTCTCCCACGTGACGCTCATCTCCTTGGTGGTTGCTTATTGTCTGATCGGCGCGTATGCCTTCGAGGCACTGGAGGCGGGTCACGAGAAGGAGGTAAATTGCGAGACGCCATTAGCGAATTTGTGGTATTCCCTTTCAGTAACATATTCCGTCTAATTTCGAGAGAGAGAGAGAGAGAGAGAGAGAGATTACTTACATTTCCCGGGAAAACATTTTTATATATAACGATATAAAATTATATAGAAATTATATATAAAATTATACATATAATCGCAAAATTATATATGAAATATGTCCATACTTAATTAGATACAAGTGCTTTTTCATATATATAATTATATAAATTTATATATATATAATAAATAAATATTTCTTTATATATATAATAATATATATGTTTTATATATAATTTGATATGATTATATATATGAACTCTTATAATTTATATATAAATTTATATAATTATGTATAAACATGGATATATTTCACATATAATTTTACGATTATATGTATGTAATAATTATACAATTATTTATATATAATTATATATAAAAAAATTTTTCTCGGGTTATTAAATTGATTTTTTTTTCATAATTCAAAAAGGGAAGAAATCAATTATATATCTCTCAATGTTGAGTATATCTGTGATAATTTTTTAAAGATATTTTTCTGTTGTGTTAACACAAATTAAATATTTGTCATAAATTTATTTTTATTCCATGTTATAAATATCTGCAATAATTTTTTAAAGATATTTTTCTGTTGCGGAAAAATACAGTCCCGTGTTATTTCTAACAACAAAAAGGTAAAATATTTTTATTCTTTTTAAAACTGTTATAAATTTATTTTTATATCATAAATTTTTTTTTAAACCCGATGAGTACACATTTGCAATATTTAAAAAAAAAATATATCTCGTGTAATTTTTAACGACAATAAATATTCTTACTTGTAAATTTATTCTTAATACCCGTAATATATCAGAACGCAATTATTGCGGGAAATTTTACCTACATATTTTATATTGTATAATTACAATTATTTTATTCATCGCGGTTTTGCGCGCTATATCTCTCCGCGGAATATATTTTTGCCTTATTATTTCTTATTTTCTCACACACGTTAATTCGCATTATACTAGTTTTTACGACCATCTGGATTAGTAATTCAGTGGACGGGATATAATAAATGAATTTCACGTCACGTAATTCCGCCGCGGATCGAGAGCAAGTTCGCCGGGACAGAAATTAATTCGAGACCGGGGGTAGAAAGAGCAAAAAGGGTGCTACAGACAAATAGTCTCCCTCGGCATCGAATATTCCGCGCTCGTGTCAATGAATTATTGACTGACGTCGTCGGCGCGACGCCGCGTCGGGGATAAAGTGCATCCCTCCGTTCTTCACGACTCCACCCTTTCCTCTTTCGCAGGTGAAGATGAGCATCAGGAACGTACGTGGAAACGTCTCGGAGAAGCTATGGGAAATCACCAAGGATTTCGATGTGTTGATTCGCGAGAATTGGACGGAGCAGGCGTTGAACGAGCTCGAGGTAACAGCTTTTCCTTCCTCTTCGTCGAATGATTTGGATATGAATTTTTACCCTCCATTTTGAAATACTATTTCTTCACAGAAAAAACAGTATCCTTGAAAGAATGCAAATATGCTTTGATTCGAGTATATTTTATCCTTATAATAGCGCCAAATATAAATAATTTTGGATAAAGGATAATTTATCCTTAAAACAAAGTGCAAAATATTCTTGGTTGAAGCTGAAATTTACTTATAAATATTGCAAGGACAAGTGACAAGTGTGCATCGGATATAAGCGGTACTTTCAAATATATATAATAATTCTTAGTTCAAATGTGACTAAGTTTGTTTTTACCATATGCGATTTTTAAAACAAGAATATATCTTAAGGATAAAATATACTTTACACAAACTTATTTATTATTAAGGCAAATGAAAATTTGTGATTACAAAGAGCATTCTATGCTTAAATCAATCAAATAGCGTTCAAGAATAAAAATATACTTGAATCAAGGATTCCTTTTTTTCTGTGATATACTATAGTAATATTAATACGAAATTGTGCAATATTTTTGATATAATATATATTTTATGAAAATGTGCGATCGCGCACTTAATATTAAATGGGGTAAATGTCACATATATACGATAGTTTTCCTACAAAACATCACAGAAAAAACAGTATCCTTGAAAGAATGCAAATATGCTTTGATTCGAGTATATTTTATCCTTATAATAGCGCCGAATATAAATAATTTTGGATAAAGGATAATTTATCCTTAAAACAAAGTGCAAAATATTCTTGGTTGAAGCTGAAATTTACTTATAAATATTGCAAGGACAAGTGACAAGTGTGCATCGGATATAAGCGGTACTTTCAAATATATATAATAATTCTTAGTTCAAATGTGACTAAGTTTGTTTTTACCATATGCGATTTTTAAAACAAGAATATATCTTAAGGATAAAATATACTTTTCACAAACTTATTTATTATTAAGGCAAATGAAAATTTGTGATTACAAAGAGCATTCTATGCTTAAATCAATCAAATAGCGTTCAAGAATAAAAATATACTTGAATCAAGGATTCCTTTTTTTCTGTGTTTCGTATCGAATACGATTGATCCCTCGGAAGATTGTTTGTTCACGAATAACGCGCTGTTTTTGACCGTAGGAGTTCGAGAAGAGTCTCATACAGAAAATGAAGGACGGATGGGACGGCACCGAGGAAGAAAGCAGTATACAGTGGACCTTCGCCGGTGCTCTGTTCTATTCCATCATCGTAATCACAACAATCGGTGAGTGATGCATCATTTCTCCATCAATTAGCTAGATAAAGGTAAGATAAAAATATGTAAATTTATTTTTGATAAGATAAAGATGATTTGATTTTAAATAGATCTAGATAAAATTATATGGCGATTTATCTAGATAATTTGCAGATAATATTATTCTTAAGACTGCTTAGGTAAATAAAGTTATTTAAAAAATGTAAATTATAAAAGGGAAAAATATATGTATTTATTTATTTATTTATAAATTTTTATCACTTATACTGCTTATGATTCGAAATCGAAATTATCTGAACGTTATTCTAGATAATTTAAGATGATACTTTTTTTCATCTAAGATGCAGATAATAAATTTTTATAGACAATACATTTTTTTATTATCTACTCTTAAAAATAGGATAACGGCAAAGTTTTATCTAGATGATCATCTATATAATTTTATATAAATAATAGCAAACACTGGGTAAGAGGGTTAATAAAAATGCATATATTAAAGTAATTTATTTTTCAAAAAATATAAATCCTATTGCTCTCACTTATAAGGAGAACCCATTCTAAAATATATTTCCAAAAAAAGAACATTTTATATAACATCCTTTCATCGCGACAAGAGGGTTAACAAAAATACATATATTCAAATAATTTATTTCTCCAAAAATATAAATCCTGTTGCTCTCACTCAAAGAGCACCTATTCTAAAATATTTCCAAAAGAACATTCAATTAATTCGGACGCGTTATTAATACTTCTATACTCAATAAATTATTCAAATAAATCGTATACGTGAAATATTCGATTTGCATCATTATCCAATTAGACAGATAGAGAGGAAGGAAAACCTTTTGTATCTCTCAGTCGCATCTTTGGCATCCCCCGTATTTCGGGAGCGAAACGATCGAGAATATTATCGTTACGCACATTGTTGCGCGTAAATAATCACCGCTTCTTGATCTCCTCGTTCGTCTTCAGCTTCCGCTCGTTATTCGCCTCCAGCGTCCGATTTTTGCCCAACGACCGCCCGTAGATCGCATAATCGTCGGGTTCCCCGTCGTAGCCGTATGGCTCGAACTCATTACGGTGACCGTAAGCTCCGCCGTAGGGTCCCGGATAATAGTCACCGGAAGACGGATGCTGGTAGCCACCTCCGTACGGTCTTCGATTGCCGTAATAATTCGACGTCGGCGCGAAACCGCTCGGTCCGTACTTATGCGGCGTACCCTGGGAATTAATTATTACTTAGCGGACAATTATGAGAAGAGAGAGAATTCCCAATTACGCGCAAATAGAGCCCAATTGAGAAGCCTCCATAAAACGGTGAGAAATTGTAACGAATAAATCGTTTTTTATATGAGCGACAAATATTTCTTTCTTCTTTAAATTATTCCAAGAGATCGATTTCGAATAATAGTTCAAATGGAAATTTGCATAGGATGGGGTATTTTACTTTGTAGCCTAAATTAGCTTTGTTGCGGTATACATATTTTATATATACTCTCTGAAAAATGTTTTTAACAAAAGCTTACGATTTTAGAAGCTTTAATATTATATTCTCCATTTTTTCATTGAAACTATATAATAAAATTATAAAAAAATCAATAGTTTGCTAAATTCTTCTCAGAATTGTTTAATTAATCAATATATATCTATTTTTTTTTTTTAATATTATGTTAATAATCTCCTAGATCATAAAATACCCCATCTTACACTCGTGTTAAATATATCGAGAAATATTTGTTGTATGTAAAGATATTGAAATAGATTAGACTTTAGTTTACGGGATAATATGGATAATTCTGTCCTTCCAATAGTCCTGGGAATCTTTTGCTGTTGAAGCAACAGTACTTTTTGTTCCTGGAGCAGTAACCCTGAAATAAGGAGACCGGAGCAAGATTTGGTTAATACTGTTTCTCTTTAGCCACTCGAGTATGTTCGATCGAACTCACGAATTTCAAGCCGGGTGACGGACAATTGAAGCTGTATCTGCACTTGCAGGTGTCGAACTCGCGATAACGAGAATCGCCTCTGATCCAGGGTGGCACCGAATCTAGGATACCGTCGGGTCCATGCGGGTCATAACGCGGCGGTCTGAAACATCAGCCATTCTCTCTGTCATCGATAAATCAATAACAATAATGTTTCGACGCAGCACACACTTTCGGGAGAATATGTACAGGGTGAGTCAGAACTGGCGGAAAAGTGTTTAATGGCAGATTCCTGGTCATTCGGAGACGATTTTTCCTCAGCAAAATGTCGAGACACCAATCATTTTTGAAGATAAAGGCTTTTTTGGAAACTAGCCTTGTGGCTAAATTAATTTTAGGTATAGAGTTTGCTTTAATAGAATTTTAATATAAAGCCTAGTTCTAAAGATACATAATAAAAAAATTAGGAACACGCTAAAAATGATGGTCTCCCTCAACATTTCCACTAAGGAAAAATCGTCTCCAAATGATACCAGGAATCTGCCATTCAAAACTTTTCCGCCAGTTCTGAGACACCCTGTACAGGCGATTTTTCCTCAGCGAAAATGAGAGACACCAATCATTTTTGAATGATAAATAGTTGAAGATAAAGGCTTTTTTGTGGAAACTAGCCTTGTGGAAATTAATTTTAGGTATAGAGTTTGCTTTAATAGAATTTTAATATAAAACCTAGTTCTAAAGATACATGATAAAAAAATTAGGAACATGCTAAAAATGATGGTCTCCCTCAACATTTCCACTCTAAGGAAAAATCGTCTCCAAATGATACCAGGAATCTGCAATTTAAAACTTTTCCGCCAGTTCTGAGGCACCCTGTACAGCTCGCGATTAGGATTGAGGAGGGATTATTCAGTTCGTAAGAGTTTCGTGATGGATGAAACGCGCGAAATTATCCACACACAGGGTGCAGTTAATGAAAAAAAAAACCAAGCCAAAGAGCTGGTTTCCCCCTTTTTGGGAACGAGTCGTCTCTCGTGAAATATCGTTACTGCCGGAGCTCGCTTCGCACGCAATTAAATGCGCGGGATATCTATAAATTAAGCGCACGATCCCCTTTGCCATGCGTGGAAACGAGCCCGACACCTATATATTTTAATCGGATCATTGAAAATTTAATATAGAGGAAGCTGGAGGAGGGACACATCCGTATACAGGTCGGATGCGGAAAATCCTACTTTTCCGAGATTATCGAATATCTGTTTGCGAAAAGTGCGATTTAACATGAACCCTCTCGCGTTGGAGGTATCGCGGATTTTTAAACTTGTCTCGATATTTTCGCTAAGCCGATTATAATCGTGCTAATTAATAATCGCGCAAAATAATACGCGAAATATGCGGATGGGCGAAATCATGGAAGCAAATACCTGCCAATTATTCCTGTTGGTCCACCGGGACCCACGAGAACACCATTGTTACCTTGATATCCCGGCACGAGGGATCCGCCATTAGGACCGTAAGGCCCTGGGTTTTGAGGCCGGAAGCCTGAATGAACGCCATTGTTTTCGAAACCTTCCAGAGGCTCGTACACTTGATACCTGAAAGTTATTTGCGCAGGTCTGTTAACAGCTACAATTTTCTCTCTTCTCTTAATTGAATGTATTATGTATATATATATATATATATATATATATATATATATATATATATAATATATATATAATATATATAAATTATTATTTAATATATATATTATATATATATATATATATAATATATTATATAAATAATAATTTATAGAAAATTATATATAATATATTAAAATTGTGTACATAATACTAAAAAATATTTACATGTAATTATAATAAAATAAAAAACAAAATAAGAAAGAAAAAATAAAAAAAAAATAACAATTTTCTTTCTTCTCTTAATTGAATGTATTATGTATATATATATAAATTATTTTAATATAAAATATATAAATTATTATTTATATATAATATATATATATATATATATATATATATATATATATTAATATATTACATAAATAATAATTTATAGAAAATTATATATAATATATTAAAATTGCGTATACAATACTAAAAAATATTTACATGTAATTATAATAAAATAAAAAAGAATAAAATTAAAAAAAAATTATATTACGAAATAAATATAAATAATTACAATAAAATAAATTAAACAAAAAATGTACGTGGACACACGTGATTAATTGTTTGACAAGTCAAAACATAGCGCACCTGGCGTCGGCGGATCTGCTTGTCAGCTTCTGTTTATCGTCGCGCCAGGTCCAGGATTCGTCGTTTTCGGCGATCACCGTCGCGATCGCAACGAGAAGAATCCAAAGAGACCCCCGCATTTTAATTATTGATAGAATCAGAGAGGAATTTAATAAGATACGTTTAAGCGTCTCAACGTGCGCGCGTTACTTCCATAAGATTCCTGGCAGACTAAACGAGAGTGAAAGTAAACCGCGCCTTTATATATGCATCGCAGCGTAGCAAGGTGAACGCACCGCTACATTTCGAGGTCTTTTTAAACGATAATCATCTGTGCAATCGATCTGCGACGATATACCATCTTTGTTTTCACGCGAATCGGAAAAACCCAGTTTGCAATATACGTATTTTCGCACACCATAATTTTGGTGCAAATTATATTGATATTATATAATTCTGCGCATTTTAATTCGATATATATTGAAAAAAAATATTTAATCTAAAATAAAATAATTAAAATGAGAAAATATAAAAATTTGAAAAATAGAAACAGAATACAAATTACGATAAAACAGAAGATATATAAATTACATTATTCCGTATAAATATAATTACAATATAAAATGAATTAGACGTATAGTTACAATAAAACATGTTGAATAAAAAAAAAGAAATACACGTAAATACGTTGATTACAATGCGTTATAAATATCGACAATATTTCATTGTTAATATTTGAGATTCATATAATGTGCCTTTTTTTAATTGTTTTATGTTTTTGTTTTACAATTTATTTATTTTAATCTTTCACGATTTTCTAATTAAGCAAATTTATCAAGAAATATGTACTTATTAACTTTTTTGTTATTTATTCCTATTTTTTTGAACATATTTTTAGCTTTTTTACTTACATCGGTTTAATTCAATTTTCACACAAATTTTAATTCGATTTTCAAGTGCGGCGATTTAACGCTCAGCAGTCGTAATTTTTTTTTAACGAGATGTGTACGTTAGAAGGTCATTTTTTCTTTCAAATATCTTTACTTCCATTCCCTTCGTCCGAAGGGACATATTTGCTTGATTTTTATTCATATGACGCAACAGTAGAAACATTGCTCCGGCGGTATCCTAATTCAAAGAGAATGAGATAACTCAAAGAAACTTTTAACTTCTTTCCTTTTAAAATAGTAATAACAGCAAACAAAATTCTCACGGCTTTCCGATTCGAATGCTAATTGGAATCATCAGCACGTGCATTTATTTGCATAAATATGTTTCATAAATATTTTATTTCGCACTTTAAATATATAATTTAAATATTTAACTCGAATATAATTTACGCGTATAATAATATGAAGTATACGATGTTAAAAAAATATTTAACGATTTGAAATATGTATAAAATAAAAAAAAATAAAATTTTGTCAAACTATCCGAACTCTCGTGAAAAAGACGACATATAATTTAAATATTTAATTTTAATATAATTTAAGTATGAAATAAAATATGAAGTATACGATATTAAAAAATGCTTAACGATTTGAAATGTATATAAAATAAAAAAAAAATAAAATTTCAAATTACCCGAACTCTCGTAAAGACGAAATGGCTAGAAATTTCGAGGCGACAAAGCGCGTTAATTCTCTCAGATCATTTCCAGAATCCACGCGTGCATTTCCAGAATTTTGCGCGGGAGAATCTGCCGCTGTTATAATTACGGGACGCGAAATGAATATTGGACAGCGCATTTGCTCGTTTATATTGCGCTCGCGGGATTACATGTCGCGATTTACAACGCGCGCGTAACGTTATTATGCGTAAATATGGCGCGTATTATGTATATGTATATGTATATACGTGGGTGGATCCGGTCGGGTATTTTTAAGGCCGAGTTCCGCTCCTTCGAGCGAGACACCCGTCCTTCGAAATAAAACCCGGTTCTCCGACGACGAGAGAAAGAAAAGGAAGCCGTCTTCTCTCTTCGGAGCAAAATCAAGACGCATGGCGTAACGTTAATTCCCGCGTGCTCGACGTCGAAATTACTTTCCGTTAGGGAGATTTTCGCAGCCTTCACTCTTGAAAAATACATCCTCTTCATCGTGAGCTACATTTGCCCGCCAATCTTCCTACACGCGGCGGATCCTACGTCATACGTCATCACACGCACGTGCGCAGAGACCGCGTCCGGAAGATATCGATTGCCTTAGAATAGCGTTATTCTCTCATTTTTTCTATAAGAAATCCAAAATTTCTTTAAGAATTTTTTTTAAATTTCTTTTTAATTTTTTTAAGAAATTAAAAATCTATCATTTTTTTCTTTAAGAAAAATCTTTAAGAAAAAAACATTTTTTAAAGAAAAAAAACATTTTTTTTTTCTTTAAGAAAAATCTTTAAGAAAAAAAAACATTTAAGTGGAGCGATACATTCTTGCGATGGACTCTCTCTCTCTCTCTATTTCAGAAATCCAAAATTTCTTTAAGAATTTCTTTAAAGATTTCTTTAAAAATTTCTTTTTAATTTCTTTAAGAAATTAAAAATCTATCATTTTTTTCTTTAAGAAAAATCTTTAAGAAAAAAAAAAAACATTTAAGTGGAGCGATACATTCTCGCGATGGACTCTCTCTCTATTTCAGTCGTTGTTTGATTTATAATAAAATAGATCAGACCTGTTCTCGACGGATGACGGAGGAGGAGCGGCGGAGAAATTTTTGATAAACTCCCCTGAAAATATCATGACTTCCTTTCCGGTCTAGCAGAGTGACGCAGTGAATGCAGATGTTCGTCCGTCTGCATTTTTTAACGAACGGAACAAACGTGTGTCGCGGACGAATGCGCTTTTTGTATCTTTCTGTCGCGCGCTTGCTTTGAAATTTATTTCTCAATGACGCATCTTTTCATTGTGAGATTAAACGGGAGGTTTAACCGCGCGACGGGATTTTTTTCAATCTTTTTTCCAGCGAATAAAATATGCATTCTCGCGTAAGCGGTTGTTTCGCGAATATGTAAAACGCATTGTCGCGAAATGATATTTTTTGTGGAGGAATTTGATGAAAAATTTTCAATTCGATTAAGCAATTATCTTTTCCTCTCTCTCTCCCGCTTTTCGGGCGATCGCATCAGAATAGACGTTAAATCTCTCGGTCGGAAGATCATCATTATAATGTTGCAGCACATGCGACATGGATATCCAATTGTGATATTCCCAGACATGTAAATTGCAAAAATTGCTATAAATAATTTGCTTTGTAAGGAATTAAAATCAATCTCGAGAACGAAGAAATACAAGGATATGGAAAAATATAAGAGAAAAATATATCAGTAATAATACACGGTAAAAGAATTATTTGGAAACTCCAAATAAATAAAAGTAAGAGGGAGAGAAATATAGTTTATACACAAAATTAATTAAACATTTAAACAGTTTCAAAATTATAAGAAGAGACAAAAATATAATAACAAGAACAGATATAAAAAATCTTCTATATATTTTCAAACGAGGAGGAATATAGAAATATTGATACATCTAAATCACTTAAAAAAAATTTTCCAAAAATTTTATCACGGTACATGGCAAAAGAAAAAAGAAATAATAATTGCACTGCAATTTATTTAAATAATAAGGACAGTGGAAAGAAAAGTCAAAGTGCCAAGAGCAATTTTTCAGCCACCACACCGCTTTTTTCTCGTTTTATTTCGAGACTCTCTTAAAGTGAGCGCCAACAAAATTGAATCAAACATCGTAATCCTTTTGGCGCGAAATGATGAAATCGGATCTTGGGCCACTTTGAAACTTGTCGCGGAGATCCGCGAAATGAATTTTCGCGAATCGGTGAAAGAAGAAACTTGCCATCGTCGCGCTTTTCTACTAATTTCCTGACACGTGACCTTTTTCAAGCAATTTCCCGGCACAGTAAATACGACAAAAGGAGGGCGACGAACGCTTTGTGACGATTCGTTGACTTTTTATTTCCGCTATTGTTTTATAGGTACGTAAAAATCTCGCTGCTATAAAAATATAAATTGAGCGAGCGAACTTCATCATAATTGTTTCACTTGATATTTTTATAAATATAAATATATAATCTTTTTCATATTACTTTATTGAAAATTTTAATGATTATACAGTAAATATGGATATCTTTACTTTTATCGAAGAAAAATAATTTTTTTATATTTACGCGAGTTTAATCCGTATATTACATATCTTTCAAAACGTTCTGTGATTTCATCTTTTATATTATTTTATGGAAAGTTTTAATGATTATACAGTAAATATGGATATCTTTACTTTTATCGAAGAAAAATAATTTTTTATATTTAATATTTTAATGTAATTAAAAAAATGTATAAAAAATAAAAATTGTGCGTCAAAGCCGGGTGAAATTTTAATGACGGCACCTTCGCATCATTTATAATGTTTATCTTAACGAAGGAAATTTTTAATCTTCGATATTAAATATCTCGGCGATGAAGCCTGTAATGAAAATCCTGTTACGGCAAAGTCTACATAAAATTAATTATAGAATAAAGTTTTATTGTAACTTCCTTGAAGCTCAATTTCTGTACAGTTTCTTCGCGGCTCAGATTTTTCAAGTTGTCAGTTCTCGCAAATTAGAATGCGTCAATATTTTCTTTTTCTTTTAATTCAATCAAACTAACACATATTTCCTGTATCTACACGTCTATCTCGAAACAGCAGAAAATGGACTTTCTCGCAATCGCGGGGTCACTTCCGGCTTGTAATTGCGTAAAAAAAAAAAAAAAAAAAATGAGCTGCAGCGATTTGAGACGTCGCTCATCGATAAGGAATCGAGAAGTGATCGAAATATCCCTCGGCTGATCCGGCTTCGATCGAACCCGCTTGGACGAAAATTCATTTCTTCGACAGGCGTTCGCGATTGCGCGACTTTCTCCCCTATATTTTCTCCCTTTTCAAATAATTTCCTGCCATCGACTGCGCGACCTACTTCTTCTCTCTCGTCGGAATAAAAGCGTTACACCATTCAGCGGAGAGAGTAGAACAAAGAGAACTGAAAAATAAAGGCGAGATCTCGCAACGCGAATGGATCGCGCGATGCCTTTTCGACATCCTCGGGAAATTCATGTATGTATTCGCTATGAGGAAACAGGCTTTTTGCCTACGAGTCCATCCCCATCCTGGACTACGTACGGTTGCATAATGCATTGATGCTGCGCTGCACCGGAAATTTATACCGTATATGTGTGTGTGTGTGTGGAGGAGATCCTTCTTCTCTCTGCCAGAGTTTCGGGAGAGAAGTGGAAACGTCTGTCATAAACACCGGCGGCGAGAGAAAATTGCGCGAGTCTAAGGGATATCCAAAATGCTTGTCGTAATCGCGTGTCTTATATAGAAAAGACGCCAAGTCGTAGAAAAAGATCGATCTCTCTCTCTCTCTCGCCTAAAGGACGAGTTTCAAATTGTCGTAATAAATGGCCTCTCTTTTTCGGGGTAAACTTACACAGAAAAAAAAGTATCCTTGAAAGACAGCAAATATGCCTTGATTCAAGTATATTTTATCCTTATAATAGCGCCAAATATAAATCATTTTGGATAAAGGATAATTTATCCTTAAAACAAAGTGCAAAATATTTTTGGTTGAAGCTGAAATTTACTTATAAATATTGCAAGAACAAGTGACAAGTGTGCATCGGATATAAGCGGTACTTTCAAATATATATAATAATTCTTAGTTCAAATGTGACTAAGTTTGTTTTTTACCATACGCAATTTTTAAAACAAGAATATATCTTAAGGATAAAATATACTTCACACAAACTTATTTATTATTAAGGCAAATGAAAATTTGTGATTACAAAGAGCATTCTATGCTTAAATCAATCAAATAGCGTTCAAGAATAAAAATATACTTGAATCCAGTATCCTTGAAAGAATGCAAATATGCTTTGATTCAAGTATATTTTATCCTTATAATAACGCCAAATATAAATAATTTTGGATAAAGGATAATTTATCCTTAAAACAAAGTGCAAAATATTCTTGGTTGAAGTTCAAATGTCAAATAAGTCTTAGTTTAAATGTGACTAAGTTTGTTTTTACCATACGCGATTTTTAAAACAAGAATATATCTTAAGGATAAAATATACTTCACACAAACTTATTTATTATTAAGGCAAATGAAAATTTGTGATTACAAAGAGCATTCTATGCTTAAATCAATCAAATAGCGTTCAAGAATAAAAATATACTTGAATCAAGGATTCCTTTTTTTCTGTGTATGAAATTGGAGGTCGTCCTTCTCGCGTTTTTCGAATCCGCCTCTCGGATAAATCCGATAGAGGACTTGTTATGGGGATGCTTTGACTGGGTTTCGTTCTCGTGGGAACAGACAACCTCCTTCGATGAGGGAACATTTGTGTTATATTCTAAATGTTCATTTCTGAATGTACATTGAATTTCAGAATATTGAAAATATCGAGGGATGAGGAGAGTACATTGCAAACTCGAAGCTCTTTTTTTGTGAAAACAAAATATTTGGCTAACTGCAATCGCGCGAATAACAGTTTCGAGATTCGCGCCAGCTGAACTAGCGTTCGAATAATTAGAGATCGAGGAAAACGTGAAACAACAGTTTCTTTACTTTAAAATAATTACCCAAAAGCGATTTGTTATCAGAAATTATTCTCTCAACTTGTTATGATAATTTACTAAGAAAATCGTTTTTTCAATGTAATAGAAAATATGAAATATTTTTTACATCACGTAATCTCTTTTTCGTTTTTTCTGCATGTTATCCGAATTTTTCACAAATCTCTTTTTCATTTTTTCTGCATGTTATCCGAATTTTTCACATTTTTATATTATTATAAATATTCGAAGAATCGCATGCATGCAATTGTTTTTCTTTCCATTCTTGTATTAATGATGAAAGAATGTGAATTGCTTCTGATAATGTTTCGGGAAACAGCTGCGAAAGAGAGAAAGGTGATATATGACGGAGGACACGTAATTATGTCGTCAAATAGCGGAAATGTTATGTAACGACATATCGAACGAAGAATCCCGACGACCTTGACCCAGACTCGTAGACGAAATTACGAAGCCGCGTAGGCCTTGAAGAGGTCTCCGAGAGACTTCAAGGTTTAGACGAGCGCGGCTAAAGATTTCAACGACCTCGATTTTTTCCAATTCGAGGCTCCAAAGTGATTTACAGCAATCGAATTTCGATTATTTAATTCAATAGCGAAGCGATATCGATTATTTTATGCGAAATTGCATTTCTTTATCCGGCGAATCTCTTGTCTCGAATTTTTTATTTTTTCGACGAAAGCAAAAAAACTTCTCTTCATGCTTTTTGTTTCTGTGTTCCAGGATACGGTCACATCGCGCCAAAAACGAAGAATGGAAAAGTGGTGACTATTTTTTACGCCATCCTCGGCATTCCTCTCATGTTGCTCTGCCTGTCGAATATCGGAGATGTAATGGCGACCAGTTTTAGGTAATAATAACGAAAAATATTTAATCGCATCTAACTACGGGTCACGTATCGGGAAAATGAAAAACTTGCAAAAATTGTATTTTATCCGTCATATCACGCAAACACGTGGAAAGTTTAATAGTTTCAATCGCTGTTGAAAAATCATTTTCTTTTATTTTTTATATTTGTGATGTGTATTTTTTTTTTTAGGTTTCTATATTGGAAAGTGTGTTGCTACGTGTGCACAAAACCACCGAAAAAACGACGAGGGCGTAACACCTTTGTCAGATCGTACTCCGTTCGTCAACCAGGGTAATATTTCACACGTGATGTAAAAAAATGTAAAATGAGACTTATATTACAATGAAAATATTGCGAAAAAGGACGCGAATGTACATAGAATTTTTAAATTACATAAAAGTATACTACTTTGATATGTCAGATAAGATTGACGTGTCGATGACGCATTATAATTGCGTCACACGAAAACGTCATTTCCTTAAACACACATCTTTGTATTCTTGAATGAACAAAAAAATTGCATGAAACGGATCTTACAAGAATTTGAAATGATTTATTGTGTGATTGTATATGGATGTTATATGTATTTTATAAGGCGATACGGATCGAGCAAAGGCCCGTTTCGCCGATCCATCAGAGTGAGTCAACGATCAGCTGACTCGGCCTTGGGGCTTTCCGAGAGTATGACGAAGTCTTCGTATTCTGACACCGATTGCAGGTAAGATTATTCTCGGATTTATAATTCAATCGCTTATTAGTCGAAAAGTCAGTCGAGATACTTTATTTCATTTATCGCTTAATTAAGTCGCGCGATTTTATGTACCGAAGAATATAATTGAATACCGATAATATAAACATCTCTTGAAAATTTTATTTTCAGATTTCTATTCTTCTCTCTTTTCATTAAATAAAGGAAACAATTAATTTGTATTTTACGTTTTGTATACTAGTTGAAATAATATAATTAATTAAAGAAACACAGAATTTTCTTTTAAGTTTGAGAGAGAAGACACGCGTAAAGTATTTGTGAGAACATTTATTTTTCTTTTTTTTTTCAGTTTATTAATAAACGAGAATAAATACCTTTTTAGTACTATACAAAAGAAATATATATAATTACAATTCTAGATCCATAAAAGATTCTAGTTTCGTAATAGATAAATAAATGGAACGCGCGGTTTCTTGTAACTTCTCTGGTCATAATAATCATAGCGTACGATGTTATCGATCTAATTATACTATATAAATAAATGATTAAAAAATCTGTAAATAAACTGTAGATATATGCAACGACGATTCGAAGGATCCGAGCCGAATCAACCGATGGAAGCTAAAGCCGCGACTATGTCGCGTTATTCGGATATTCCGGTGGCCACTCCGAAAAGTGTAAGAGGTACTCTTAACAAATATATTAATTACTTTTATTTTATTGTTCTCAATTGATCGTACGCCGGCTCTAAATTAATTAAAAAATTAACAGATAGAAAGTTAGAAGATATCGCTATTGGAAGATATATCACCTCGTTTTGTTTGTCGACTATTAGCGCAATATTGTGTCACCACTGAATCCATTTCGCAAATAGATAATTGTTGTCGGGGATATTCAAAATATGTATAGAAGTGCTAATAGATTGTATGAATAATTAATATATGAATTATTATTAATATATATAATTATAATTATATGTTGATAATATATTTATAAAATGCAGATTAAAATTATATGTATATATAATCATATTTTATATATTTTCATATTTTTTTCAATATGTTTAAAGAGGCAATTTACCTTGTAATTGATATGATAAAACGTGATAAACGATATGTTGCGATATGTATTAATATATATAATTATAATTATATGTTGATAATATATTTATAAAATGCAAATTAAAATTATATGTATATATAGTCATATTTTATAAATTTTCATATTTTTTTCAATATGTTTAAAGAGGCAATTTACCTTGTAATTGATATGATAAAAAGTGATAAACGATATGTTGCGCGCATGTTACACGTACAGGATTGTCACACACAAGGGACAAAAACGCTCCCATCAGCGCGTTGATTTTCTCCCTCCTTTTTACTCATCCGTATAAAATATTCGCTCGATATTAATTAATTCATTCATGCGCATCGATCGCGCTGCTTCGCGCTCGTTATCGATTAATTAAACTGTCGGCCGATTTGCTTGTTATACTTTCATTATCGCGTACAGCCAGCCCCAGGATGACGACGCAATCGTTGGACAGAAAATTGCTAATGAGTCCGAACGACGCTGACCGCTCGCCGGTTTTGTGCAACAAATACGCGTTGGATGATTTGGAGGACGAGATGCTGAGATGGCAGCCTCCGCCTCAAACTAGAGGCGAGTATCAACCAATGTTGCTGTCCGATTTATACAAGTCTATTTTTGCATAAATGCAACTCTTCGTCATTTTTCTGATAATATTATGGCATATTATATATTTAATTATCTATTGAATTATTTACAGGACTCTGTATAAGTTTGGAAACACCTTATATTTTACAGTTAAAGAATTGCATGACGGCGATCTGTTACAAATAAAAATATTATTTAAATATTTTACGTTTATTTGATGTTTTATTTATACAAAAAAGTCTGCACGCAGATCTGCCAAGAGGATCATCTTAATTTAAGAGAAAAATTCTCTAAAGAAATATTCTTTAATTAGATATTCGTACATGCAAGAATATAAACTTAATGGGATGTTTTTTATCAGTATATTATTTGAAAAATTATTAATTGTGATAACAAAAAACAGTCTTATAAATGGAAATTTGTTATTTATTGCATACAGTATTCTTCACAAATTTGGGAACACTTTACATTTAACAGTTAAACAATCTCATGGCAGCGATCTGTCAAAAATAAAAATGTCATTTAAATAAATATTTTACGATTTATTGATACAACAAATCTATACGATTGTTGTAAACTGTAAAATGTAAGGTGTTTCCAAACTTATGTATAGGGTACTGTATTATTTAGTATAAAAAATAATAAAAATCTTTTGTCAATATTGAATAATACAATTGAATAACAAATAATATTAATGCACAGACTATTGAATTCCCTTCTGTTAATTTTTCTTTCTAGCAACTGCTGGACATTGAATATTACTTTCTTCTTCGAGTACAAAGGCCTTTTGTATTTCGGGAAAAAGTTCAACACTTTCTAAACATTTAAAGCTGCCCGAAAAGATGAAACAAAACCTCCGTTATTACAGTCGAGAACTCGGAAAGGCCGCGAAGCAACGGAACGACCGAGGAAGCGGATACCGGCGAAAAGCAAACTTCCTTCAATCCCAGATCCCTGCCTCGGCGATGTCTCTCCGTGGAGGGCGCCACGACGAATAATCACGAGGCGAGTTTGACGTCGGGGTTGCGACCGCCTTCGGTCTATTTGGAGATGGAACATATGAGAAGATCGCAATCCGTCAAGGGTAGTAATAGACGCAGCAGGAGCAATTATTCCGTCGGTGAGTGACTTGGGTGATGAGAGCCGGTCGACTCGCAATCAGTCGTGATATAAACCCAAATTCGCGATTGCTCGATGATTTTCCAGCCATTCCGATATTCCCAAGTCATTCGGAGCTCCCAAATTGCTTCTGTCAATTAGGCCAAATCGATCGATATGATAATACGCGGATCGTAATACTCATCTCGCTGATCATAATAACGAGTAATCATCATCCCCAGCGCGCTCTATGAAACGGGGACCACCGTCGCCGAGGATTATGTCGCCGATGGGATTCGCCGTGCACCGACAGGTTTATGCTGACGATATCGATTTTGACTACGAGTACTACACCGTCGCGGATGACCACGAGAGACAGCCGACCAAACCTGTGCCCATCTGGCTGTGCGTCTTTCTGGTTGTCAGCTACATTTTAGGCGGAGCTTATCTCTTCAGCCAGTGGGAAAGTTGGCCGTTCCTCGACTCGGCTTACTTCTGCTTTATCACCTTAACCACCATCGGTTCGTTCTTCTTTTCCATTTCCTCCTTTGTTTGTTTTTTTTTTTTTATGATTATGCTTTTTTTTTTAATTATGCTTCTTTAAAATTCCAATAAATAAATCGGTCGGATAATTATTTAGTTGTCTGCTATCAAGAATTATTTCTTTAGAAAGACCATCGGTTCGTTCTTCTTTTCCATTTCCTCCTTTGTTTGTTTTTTTATAATTATGCTTTTTTTTTTTTAATTATGCTTCTTTAAAATTCCAATAAATAAATTGGTCGGATAATTATTTAGTTGTCTGCTATCAAGAATTATTTCTTTAGAAAAACCATCGGTTCGTTCTTCTTTTCCATTTCCTCCTTTGTTTGTTTTTTTATAATTATGCTTTTTTTTTTTAATTATGCTTCTTTAAAATTCCAATAAATAAATCGGTCGGATAATTATTTAGTTGTCTGCTATCAAGAATTATTTCTTTAGAAAAACCATCGGTTCGTTCTTCTTTTCCATTTCCTTTTTTGTTTGTTTGTTTTTTTTTATATATAATTATGCTTCTTTTTTTAATTATGCTTCTTTAAAATTCCAATAAATAAATCGATCGAATAATTATTTAGTCGTCTGCTATCGAGAATTATTTCTTTAAAAAGAAATAATGCAATGCTTCGTGCAAAAAGAGATATATCTCTTACACTTATTGACCTCATGTTCTCAATCTCGAGGATCTCTTCAAGTCTGAAGACCCCACGTGCGTAATATATTTCCTATCTTCTCCTTTCAGGTTTCGGCGACTTTGTGCCAGCCTACAAGCTGGACGCGCAGAAGGGCATTGCCCTTTGTTCACTCTACCTGCTGTTTGGCATTGCCTTGCTCGCGATGAGCTTTAATCTGGTGCAGGAGGAGGTCATCAACAACGTGAAGAGCGTTGCGAAGAGGCTGGGTATCATCAAAGAGACCGACGACGAGGCGGAAGCCGAGGACTACGACGAATACGACGCGGAATACGACGAAGAGGTCTATGAAAACGAGCCCAAACTGTGACTCGCACGCTTTTCCAAGCTTACCAGTACGACGAGGGATCTCTCTCTTTCTCCCGACTCACATGCAGGATCGACATTCAAGTCAGCTTCGCGACACACGAGCAGATTCCCACGGATCGAATAATCTGTTTTTTGCACAAGCTGTTGCAAAAAATTATCACAAGCGAGTTAAATTGGATTCAATTTTGCCGACTTGTCGATTGAAACCATTGGATGAACGGATCGACGTGGACGAGAAAATTAACGGTTATTGTGGACTGAAATTAAAATATGGGGAATATATATTTTATTAGACGTTTACATCATCTCGTAAAATCATCGAAAAACGATACATGTTAATTTTATCGCTGGAGCTTCGCGATGCATCGAGTTCGATTTTTCGAAAGATCTCAATAACCATTTCTTTTTTTACAGATGCGCAAACTGTGGATGTATCGTGAGAAAATTTGAATTCCTTACAGCTATAAGGAATTTCTGGTTTTTTGTCGCCAATTTTGATACTATTAAGATACAATTATACTATAATTGTATCAATGGAACAATAGCAGGGAAGAACCACATCTTGCGAACGTCGCGAGGAAAATACCACTATATATATATATATGTATATATATATAATATACATATATATATATATATATATACAATATATATACAAATCTGAGAATTAGTTTCTACAAAATGAATAGGAGAACAATCGTGGAATGCAATTAAATTTGCATATACATTACACGGTGGTAGCTTTAATGTCGAATATTTGCATTTTGAATATTTTCCTTTCAAATTTCATTATATTCTCCTTCGCAGTGAGATATTGCTATTAAATATAATTGTGTAAGTATTACCTGTATTAATATATTATTATAATATTTATATTATATATTATATAATAATTTATTATATTTATTATTATATATATATTATAATTATTTACTAGGATATAAACATATATATATGTATATATATGTGCATATATGTATATATGTTTTTGTAATACCATTTCTCTGTTTCTTTTCCTCTTTTTCTCTTTCTCTTACATGCTTTTTTATCTTATCAAATACTCTGCTCTCATCGTGTTCATTCCATTCTAAATTCTAAAAAAAAAAAAATCACGAAACCGTTTACACATTTAACGAAAATTTGCGAAAATTTAATCTTACTTTTACATACCTATATATGTATTTAAATTTTATTTGCAGCAAAAGAAATGAACGCGCGACACACAAGAGAATATAACCGAGCGCGACATTTATATTTATTTCTCAAAGAGCGGCCACGCGCGCTGAGAGGTAAAAAAAAAAGGATCCGAAAAACGCTCGCGTTTTTCCAAGAGACACATTTTCCGGCAGTTCCCTTAAATTTTCTTCGAGCGTACGCGAGAGTACGCGATTATCTCCTAGCGGCAGAGAGCGACATTTTCGCGCGGCTTACTACTTTTTCGCGCGCGCAAAAGATTGTCCTTACAATATTTTCCCGGACGCACTTGCCGCATGCAAAATTCACACTCGCTATGCAAATCCCTTTCATCCCCTTTGCGACTCACGTGTATATATATATACGCATCCGAATATGCGAACGTACACCCCAGGTTCTCGCGCCTTCGTCGTTTCGCAGTCGCGTTTTCGCCTCGCGTTTAAATCGCGAGGACGTTAATCGTCTCGACGCGGTGAGCTTCAACGACTCGATAATCGCGCGATAAAGCCCACTCGAAGGAGAAATAATAGTCGCTAAGAACTTCCGCTCGCGTACATTACGGAACCAACCGCGTCCCGGGCGGGCGCGCGTGTGAAATCTGCATTTCATAAATTTTAACGCGTCCCTCGATTTCACTCTCTCTCTCTCTCTCTCTTTCGAGGTCGAAAATTATTCTCTCTCTGCGTGCAGGAAGATAAATATTTTTTCCCCAGAATATATATGAAGTCACATATACCGACGAGAAAATAATCGATCGGTGGCAAAATCTCTTTCGCTTATCTCTTGGATATAAGTTTTTATTCAGATTTATTCGCTTGTCTGTCACTTTAAATGTCATGGATTTTCTCCGCCCGAAACAAAATACAAAGTATCTTTGTGTTAAAAAAACATTCTAAAATATCTATAAAAAAATTGATACCTTTCTATAGATATCAATTTTGTCATCGATGCGTTGATGACAAGTTGAAAAATGCAGAAGGGTTGATTTAAAAGAAACTAAAATAATATCTAAAATATATAAAAAATTGGTACTCTTATGGGTATCAATTTTGTCATTAAAATGCACTGATGTCAAGTTGAAAAATGCAGAAGAGAAAAAAATAAAAACAGTATCTAAAATACATAATATATAAAATATAAAATATATAAAATATATTTAAAAAAATAGAAAATAGAAAAATAGAAAGCTTTTATTCAGATCGCCCTTCTGTCACTTTAAATGTGCAGGATTTTCTCCGCCCAAAACAAAATACACAGTATCTTTGTATTCAAAAAACATTCTAAAATATCTATAAAAAAATTGATACCCCCGTATAGATATCAATTTTGTCACCGATGCATTGATGACAAGTTGAAAAATGCAGAAGGGATTTGATTACAAAAAAAAAAAATAAATAAAAATAGTATCTAAAATATATAATATATAAAATATATAAAAAAAATAGAAAATAATATTATCAATTTGGGATTTGGATCGGCTTTCGTGATCTCGAATGTTGACCTCCGGAAATCGAGAATCTCGCTCGCGGCGAGTGCGTCTACCGGGTGTCCGGGTCGAATCGGCGATTCGACCAGGCGTCCAAGCGACTTGAACCCGGTTATTTTCGGCGACTCGCTATTTTAAGACGGTGCGCGCCGATGACGATGCGGGGTGTCGCGGAATCAGTTTACGAGGGAGCCTCGTCGAGGCGGGTCGTTTTCTCGTCGGAGACTCAGAGTCCGAGTCCTCATCCCGGACCTTCGGACCCTTTTTCGCTGAAGCGAGCGACGCGCCGCGGAAATTTATTCGGCGACTTCAATCACGAACCCGTGAGGATGTAATCGGGATCGTTGCCCGGAGATGATTCAACGAGGTCGACGCGTGCGATGGAGCGGAGGAAACGACCCTCGGAGGATCTGTGATCGGAATATACCATCTTTTTGGAGAGTGGACGATCTCCTACGGGAAGATGATCCATAAGAGTAGACGCAAATGGGGTTTGAAGCGACTTGCAGCGGCTCCGACCGACACGTGGCGGCGGGTCTGTCTCGTAATCGGGCTGTCTGGTGCACCAGCCGCGTAGACGTATACGTGTCTAAGTATAGCCGGGCGAAACGCGAGCATAAACGCAGAAATCAACCGAGTCTCAATGGACGTTTCGGTGATTACGCGGCGCGAAATCCTCGGCGGTGATCATCATCGATCCTGATCCTCCAATTTTACAATTTCTCCTCGTTCCAAGATACTTGGAATAAAATGACATTTGGGGGTAATCAAAATCCCCCTGATTCAGCGATTGGGACGACGATAAAAGCCGGAGAGGGACCCTCATATTAATTTCGATAAACGGACCGGCGTCTCGATTATTATAGTGATTTGGAGGTATAAAAGATTCTGATTCGTCTTGGAATGAAAGGAATTAAACTGGAATTTATTTATATATTTAATGTAAAAAATAATACAAAATTAAATTTTAATATATACAAAAATTGATACCCATGAGTATCAATTTTGTCATCAATGCATTGATGACAAGTTGAAAATTGCAGAAGGGATTTAATTACAAAAAAAAAAATAAAAAAAATAAAAATAGTATCTAAAATATATAATATATAAAACAAAATTAAATCTTAAAGAATTAGAAAAAAAATGTAATTATGCCTCCTGCTGGAGGAAATCCTGCGGACGCTCGAGTCTTTGACCTTCTGTCAATGAATGGATATACTTGAAATATGAAAAATGTATCGAAACCTGTCGAAAGAAAAGAAGATCCAAAGAACCTTTGTATTCGGAAACCTCCTAAAATCTAACTATAGAGAGAATTCTCGATGCGCAGCAGCTGGTGTAAAAAAATTGTGAAAAAAAAAAAAAAACGCAGCCATAAATTGCTAAAGGGATGAAAAATTATGCGTCGCCGGAGGGGTTAATTTATATAAGAGACACGCTCGCGTGTTTGAAAGAAGTTTTCGTTTTTTGCCCTCGTACATCCGATCTGCGAGAAGAGTCCATCCGGGGAAAAAAACGAGGGGCATTTAATTAAAGATCCGCGTCCCCGAGGGTTTCAGGGAGATCGTCGATCATTTTTCGCGGGATCGTAAACAGTTTCACAATAGAATTTGTTAAACGGCCAAGTGGCTCGTCGTCCTCGTCGTCGTGTTTTCGATTCTCCGCGGACGAAACCGATATATACCAGATATTCCTGGGAAGAGAAACTCCCTGGAGAGGAGACGCGACGTTTTCCATTAAATTCACCCCCGACGTAATTCTCCATTAGACCAGGTCGGAGTAAGAGCTCGCGATCTTCTTATAAAAGAAGACTCTTTATATATACGAGCTGCCCGGTAATTACGCCATCGGTTTAACAATTGATCGTCTAGATTGAGATGCCAATTTCTTTTTTTAAAATATGATTTAAACAGTCCTTCGACATGCGTGTGTAGTTACATGATTTTAAAATTAGCTAGATAAAATTATATTAAAATATATAAATTATAAAAGGGATATTTTATCAAAATATATTCATGATCTTTTATCGCTTATTGCTCAAGTTCTACTAATTCAATATTTTTATGTGCTATTCTAAATAATTTAGTGAAGATAACATTTATTATCTAAGGTGTAGAGATGACGCGAAAATCTCTTTTCATCTAGATGATCATCTATATAATTTGATTTAGATAGCAGCAAACCCTGTATATTTATTTTTACATCTCTCAAGCGTGTAGGAAAATGCATTTTCCGTGGGAAAATCCGTCCGACTCAATTGAATAAAAAGACAGAGTCGAGAAGACAAAAACGTCGGTCTTCTTTGCAAAAGACGATTAGACATCCCGCGACTTATAATCCAATTTCTTTTTACGCTAGCCGAATGTCCTGAAAAAGAAAGTTCTAATACAAAAGACGAGCGATTCAAGCTGTGAATGAGCGAGCGAACTAATCCCACCGGAAGATAATCCTGTAGAACGAATCCCTTCCAGCCGACAATGCGGATTCCCGCGTTGAGACTTGGCGGTCTCTCGCGAGAGACATTTCGCGCCCGTCAATAATCATAAATCGCGAGGAGGACAGGCTCGAGGACCCCTGAAGAGCCTCGCTATCTTTCCGGATTACGAGGGTGCTCGGTGAACCGGAAGCGCGATGACCGCGAATCGGTGACCCGGTGCGGAAGTGACGTCGTCGTCGTCGGCTGGATGGAGGCGGACAAACCGTCCCGATCGTCGGGCAGCAATCGCAGCTGGCAACGCGGAAGTTCTCGCACGCGAAGCGGAAGACGCCGGAAACGGAGGCGGAAGCCCTGGGGCGAGCGGATCATCGACTGGACCAGGGCGCTGGTGGCCTTTCTCTTCAGCAACGTCGGCATCGTCTGCCTGGTGGTGGGCTACACCATCGCGGGCGCCTTCCTCTTCGTCCACATCGAGAGCAAAACCACTTCCGACGTTGCTAATGATGTCATCAAACGGAGGAACCTGACGGCCGCCATTCTCTGGGAGCTAACGTCCAAGGTAAATCATTTATTTGCATCATCCTGGTTTTTTGGTTGTGACAGTCTTAGAGCAAAATTATTTAGTTAAAGAAAAAAAAATATATATATATATATTAAATAAAATAATATAAATAAAAGGAAAATATAAAAATGAAATTATTAAATAATTTAATATCATAATATAGCAAATTTTATAAACTTATATATATAATACAAAATCATTTAGTTAAAAAAAAATATATATATATATTAAATAAAATAATATAAATAAAAGGAAAATATAAAAATGAAAGTATTAAATAATTTAATATCATAATTTGTAATTAAATAATATAATATTATAATAGCAAATTTTATAAATTTATATTATATGTGTGTATTTAAAATAAAGATTGTCCTATTTTAAATTTATCTAATTGTAAGTGGAAATGGGATTATAAAGCGTTTCATCTGGATAACTTTAACATGATAATGCTTTTAAAAAGAACAATTTAGGATATAAAAACTTAAACTTTTATATATGTATTATTATACTTTTATTTTTTTTATCATTCTTCTTTTCTGAAAACAAGAATTTTTAGAAAAAGAGAATATTATTACAAAAAGATGATATACTTTCTACATAAAGATAAAATGAAGCAATAATTTCATTTTTAGATGATTAATCAGACATTTTTAACCGGATAACAAAAAAATACACTGTCTCAGAACTAAATCTGGACCTGGCGCTCTTTTTACGACCACCCGGTTTCTTCCGTACGGATTTTCACACGTTTCTGTTTGGTTGAAATGTCAGTTTAATATTACGAGCGTCAGTTCCGGACTCGACGTATACAATAACAGAAACGATAATATCTACGTTAAAATATTAGATCCCGAGATGAGAAATTTGGGATTATTATAGATTTTCTATGCGTGTATGTGTGTACCTGGGAATAAATTTTTTATCTATAACAATATAAAATTATATAGAATTATATAAAATTATACATATAATCGCAAAATTATATATGAAATATGTCCATACTTAATTAGATACAAGTGCTTTTTATATATAATTATATAAATTTATATATATATATATATATATATATATATATATAAAATAAGTATTTCTTCACGAATATAAATATATGTTTCATATATAATTTGACATGATAATATATGAACCCTTATAATTTATACATAAATTTATATAATTATGTATAAAAATGGACATATTCCACATATAATTTTACGATTATATGTATAATTATATAATTATTTATATATAATTATATATACAATTTTTTCCCAGGCATGTATATGTGTTTATTATAACATCGCCGATGGCGCAATTTCATTCCCCTTCATTAATATTCTGACGTTGCTGATATTGCACGTAGGAAAATGTGTTCTCGGAGAAGCTGTGGAAGGCAAAGGTGAGGGACATTCTCGAGAGTTACCAGAAGAAGGTGGTGTCATCCATAAAAGATGGTTACGACGGCGTGGAGGAAAATAAGTGGACCTTCGCCGGCGCCTTTCTGTATTCTCTCACTGTGATAACGACTATCGGTGAGTGCTCCGATTTCCTTATCTGTTCTTTCTCTCCTTGTCATCGTGCATACACTCTTCGAATTTCAGCCCTTAGCCCTATTCGAGAAAAAAAATATTTTGCATTTTATTTTATTCCATTTCTTCGATTCATTTCTTTTTATCCACTGCGAACAGAGTTGTGCTTAGATGATTTTCAAATTAGCTGGATAAAGATGAGATAAAAATATGTAAATTTATCTTAGATAAGATGAAGATGATTTTGTTTTAAATATATTTAGATAAAATTATATGGCGATTCATCTAGATAATTTTCTTCTTATCGCTTACTGCTTAAGTTCTACTATTTAAATATTTTTATGCGCTATGATTCTAAACCAAAATTATCTGAAAATGATTCTAGATAATATAGTAAAGACAATACTTTTTTCACCTAAGATGCAGATATAGATAATACAAATTTTTATTATCTATATAAAGATAAGATGATGCCAAAGTCATCTAGATGATCATCTATATAATTTTATTTAGATAACAGCAAACACTGTCTGCGAAACTGAACGAATTACGTTCTTCAAATTTAGTTATTCGATTAAAAAAAATAATAATGTTATAAATAATAATGTCGTTTAAATATTTTACGTTTATTTTATTTATACAAAAAATCTGCACAGATCTGTCAAAAGGATCCTCTTAATTTAAGAGAAAAATTCTCTAAAGGAATATTCTTTAATTAGATATTCGTAACATGCAAGAATATAAACTTAATAGAATGTTTTTTATCAGTATATTATTTGAAAAATTATTAATTGTGATAACAAAAAACAGTCTTATAAATGGAAATTTGTTATTTATTGCATACAGTATTCTTCACAAATTTGGAAACACTTTACATTTGACAGTTAAACAATCGCATGGCAGCGATCTGTCATAAATAAAAATATCATTTAAATAAATATTTTACAATTTATTGATACAACAAATCTACACTTTTTGTGTTGAACTATTTTTAATAATTTCAATTTATTGTTAACGTATTTCGCCTTTTAATTTTGACATAATTATCTAATTTATTTTGACTTTGTATTGCGACTTTTTATTTATTTTTTTATTTATTATTATTGTTTTATTGCGCACTGAAGAAGACTAAGTATAGTTCGAAACGTTTGAAATTAAGAATATTAGAGTTTATATTGTAATTGGTTTTTTAAATTAAAATTTTTCCAAGTTTTGAAATAATTTTTTATTGCTCGTTTCACATGGCCTCGTAATATTTAATAAGTTATCATTGTGTTTGTCTACACAGATCGTTGTCATACGATTGTTTAACTGTAAAATGTAAGGTGTTTCCAAACTTATGGAGGTATTGTATTTTATATTTGATTTCTTCGATTCATTTTTTTAATCCTCTGCGAAACTGAACAAACTACGTAATCGCGCGATACAATCCGCGTTCGTCTCTCGCGAATGAAAAAAAAAACGCGTTTAGAGGAAGCTCTTGAAAAATGTAGACAATTTACTCCCTGCCGGATACTTGGCCGTACTAAACAGAGCGCGCTTATTTGCGCTCTTAATGCCCCGGCTAATGCCCACTTTTCTCGTCGCGTCTGATAAATCTCCTTAAGTTAAGATAAAGGCTCTTGTGTCGGCTATGAAGGAAGAAACGTTAGGAAATATAAGCAGGCGAAGGGGTGAAGCTTCAGTTCTTTTTTATTCGACGATAAATCAAGTTGACTCTCTTCATATTCTTTTTTTCTCTCTGTTTTTAATCATGCCTTATTAAATAATTTATTTGCGAATTGTCGGAAAATTGTGCACGTTTGTGGATTTAATACTTTAATCATCTTCGTTATTGCACGGGAGAAAAATATTTTGTAATTTCGTCGCAAGATGAATAATCTTGTGGGTGTATATATTTTCGCGTATCCAGGGTATGTAAATGAACATTCGTACCACAATGTGGTACAAGAAAAATTCGGCTGGGATCTCGAGCGAGCAATATGCGTCCCCAAATAAGCAGCCGTGTCCGAAAACACAGGAAAGGAATTTAAATTGTAAAAAAAAAAAAAAAAAAAAAATAAACCGCACGGGGTCCAGAAAGCTGAAAAATATATACATAAATCTCGCGCTGTCCGAAATATATTAGTTGAGAAGAAGAATTGACCAAAAATAAAGATGAAAGAGAGAAAGAGCACAATGATAATAATACATTCGTCAAATCTCTATTTTTGACGATCATTTATATCCATTTATATCTATTTATATCTGTTGTTAATCCTTTTTCCTATTTCAAACACTTAATATTTCAAAGGAGTTTTAAATCGAAGTTCTTTAAATATACAAAATATTAATAATTGCTTCGTCGTGATAAAATCTCCCGGGACACAATTATATATAAAGCTCTTTCGGTAAGCAGATTATCGACGAGAAAGAAAGCGCAGACCTGATCCGGGATTTTCCAGTCGATTGCGCGAAATAAACTAATAGATTTACGTAGAGAGTTGGAATATATTTTTTTTCTATTTCAATTTTATCGAATTAAGAAAAACTCGAACTGCGTATCTTTTACAAATGTATATCGGTCTTTCAATTTTTGTATCGACTTCTAGAATGCTTCTTTGGATTCCTTTTCGAAACTTGAGAAAAAAAAAAACATTTAATTCGAGATACGAAAATATCGAAAAAATACAGGTCCCGCGCTTTTTCGCAAATTGCAACGTTTTTATTGTTTGGAGTCCAATAAAAACGAGCGTAAATGAATTTCCACGAACGTGGAAAGTGACTCGCCAAAGTTTTCAGCGCTCTTAATTTCCCGCTGGAAAGCGCTATATATTTCTCGCGAATCGATGGAGAACAATTAAGATTTAACCGGCGGTTAAAACGAGCCAACTAAAAGCGGAAGCTCGTCGAGACTATCGATTTTCATGCAAGCACATTTCGCCCCTTTTCTTCCCTTTCGTTTTCCCTCGAGAGATGCGCCGAAAAAGATCGAATTACCGGCATCGGGGCGGAAGAATCGACGTGAAACGACGGACGAGTTATATTCAGGCCACGAGAATGGTATCCTGAGACTCGAGCGGGATTTATCATATTCCTGGAGCCGCGCACACGCGACTATGAAAGGATAAAGTGATATTAATGACTTTAACGTGATGGCGGCTTTGTTTTCGGTGTTCCGCGGCTTGCTGGGGCCAGTATGTGCGCAAAGAATATAAATCATGATTATCGTGGCGAAATTACGCGAAAGGAATTGCGTAATTCGCGTAACTTTTAGCGTGAAAATCTCTAAAAGTATATATTCGCGCGATCTCTATCTCGAAATTTTTATTTCCTTCTAGACCTACTGATCGACAACAAATTAAACTTCAATCTCGAGATTTTTATTTTTTAATATGTAATATCGATCAGTGAAAAAATTAAAATCTTGAGATCAAGATTATAATTTTTTACGTAGATCTATTGATCAGCATTTTTTTATAATGATGCTATTTAATTTTATAATGATGATATTTAATACAAGATAATATGGGGTCTCAAAAGTATCAAATGTCTTTTTAATAGTAGATCAGAGTCACCGATTAAAGATGAAGACAATTTTTCTTCAACGAAAATGTCGATTGTGCATCGATAATTTCTAAATTAACAGTTAAAAAGGGCTTTTCGCAAATTATGTGGAACTTTGTGGAATTAAAAAGTTAACAAAACTACTTCCTCAGTTAATTTTAAGTGAAATTTATATCAATAGAATTTTAATTTCAGACATTTAGTTATAAAGACACATGATGGAAAAAATTGAAAATTTGTGAAAAATTATGACATTTTTCAACATTTTAAGAAAAGAAATCCAAATTTGCCAGAAAGAATCGGTTATTTAAAGAACATGCAGAGATTTTGACAAATATCAATCAAAATGTCGCTTTAATAAGTGAAATTAATTTAAATACTTTGTCGTTACAACATAATTCAACAATTATAATAATAAATAATTATAATACTACCGAATATACAATATAATTAAACCACTGATAATTTATGTAATTTTGATGAGATTCACGATGATTATATTGTCCGAAAATATATTATGTCTCGATAATTATGGCACCCGCAATTAGGGTGTATCGACGATAGTCTCGCACTATTTTGGGGCGATCAAACGCGCGGAATCGATAAAAAAATTTTATATTTTCGTTCGCGAGAATTATTTTCAATCTCCGATATTATTCAGGTCGTCGTGTTCTCGATAGTCGGCGCAGCGCGAAGTCGATCATTTTGGATTAACATAGAATTAATTAACGATACGGAATATTCGATACCCGACGAGTTGCGCGGTCTCCGCGAAATTGCAATCATAAATCGATGAACTGTGCGTTAGTCAATTAATACTAAAACTGTCGCGCAATTCAATTGGCGACGCTGCAGCATTTAATAAATAAATTAATTAGCTGCTCTCTTTTTGTGCATATGTGTACGTGTATATGTGTGCGATTACGATATTACATATTTGCTCTCTTATATTGTCGATTATTTTGATGAAACAAAAATTTAAAAATTTAGCGCATGTTTGGGGGAAGTATTGAGAGAGAGAGAGAGAGAGAGAGAGAGAGAGAGAGAGAAATAGAGGATGGGGAGGAGAGATAATAAAAAGCGAGTGTTTTATTAAAAATATATAAATATATATAATTACGCGTGCAAAGCAAAATTATATTATTCTTTGATAAATAATCTTAAAAGTTGCAACGCATGTATGAAAATTATTACAAGCAATATATAAAAATATTAATTCTATATTAATTATATATTATATATTAATTAATAATATAATTGATATATATTTATATATATATATATATATATATATATCAATTAATAATATAATTAATTATATATAATATATAATTATATATTTATATCAATTAATAATATAATTAATATATAATTAATTATATATTAATTAATGGTGCATTAAAATTCAATATTTAAATCTTTGACAGAAAAGAGAGAAACGAACAAAAATATAATTT